GGGGGCTTTATTTTTTGCTATTTCCTTCAAAGCAGCTTGAACTTCTGCCTTCATCACCATAGGCTCTGGCTCAAATGCTATTTCATTAAATTCTTCTGTATCTGCCAATTCCTTTTGGTACAATGACTCAGTATATTCCTTCCATCTTCTTTTGATACCTCTTGGATCATTTAACATTGTGCCTGAAGCATCCTTGATTGTAGCAACTCGAGGTTTGAATTGGGTAGCCAACCGTTAACACATTTGACACATCAGTGTCACAGTATTCAGCCTCACAGCAAACAAAAGTGACTGCGGTACAGCAACTATAGAGTTTCTAGAGCCATCTTATTTAGGAAGTGGGTGCCACTCCTGCTTCCAAGCCTGTCTTAATCAAGGAACTCCACCAAACACTGTCCACCATGGGTAACCATTACGGCATCTGAAACACCAGTGGCACTACGTTCAATATCACAGCAACCTCAAGTTACCTCAGTACAGCAAATTGACAGACAAGTGCTGTACCACTTAGAAGAATGTTTGTCCCAAATACAGTTAACACTCAGGACTGTGGCCCTTGGGCCCAACCAACTTTTATATACAAAGACCCTCCCACCATGTCCTGATTGACTCTCAATAAGAAGCTTCACACATGAGCTTCCAAACTGAATCAGTATGGTTAGAGAATAAAATATATTGAGCCTCTGTTCATTCGTGGAGCCAAGAATAAAGTCACTCTAACAGACCACACACATTGAGAGTAAAGAGGATCCTCACAGAAAATCAGGATGCTGTTGACACAAAACAAGGGAATAGATGCTGGGCCTTCCCAAAGATGTCCACTAATCCTGGATTCAACCACTCACCTGCAAATTTGGGTTAATCCTTCATTTTTATGGTTCAGATATCTCTGGAAATATTACAGATTCTCACTCCATACATAACTGTGAGAGTAGGGATCTAGGAAGACCCTCAAACTTCCCACAAGAAAGGAAATAGAGTGCGTTTCTGCCTCCTTCCCAAACCCTGCCAGACTTGGGTAGCACGGAACTTGATGCCGTTGCAGATTTGAAGCTGTAGATAGGATAAGCCTTCTGGGAGTCCTGGACTCCCTTCTGTCTGATTCACAAGCATCCTTGTGAAGCAGAGCTCATACCCCGTATCTATCCTCCCACCAGGTAACCACGGCAACAACTTCAGGATCCATGTCAGCAATGGACTTCTGATGCGAGGGCCCAGGCCACTGGACAGGGAGCGGAATTCATCTCACGTGCTGGTGGTGGAGGCCTACAATCACGACCTGGGACCCATGAGGAGCTCTGTCAGGGTGAGGCTAGGGGCGGGACTCGAGGGCACAGCTGGTGGAGGTGCCCACCGCTGACCCAGGGCTGGGTGACATCTGGAGCCACGAGGAGGTGGTGATGTCACAAGCTTACCCCAGCTGAGTGCTTGCATGAGTCATTTTGACCTGTCTAAGCTTCCGTTTCCCCAGATCTGAAAGGGGACACAGATACTGATCTGATAGTCCAAAAGGACAAGTGTCTATGTCCCTATGAAGCTCTGGGATGAGCTGAGAAAGCCTCATATATATTAGTTTGGAGATGTGTGTATTACTGACCTCATTTTACAGACAAGGAAACTGAGGCACAGAGAAGCTGCTAGTGATAAAATACTGAACACAGGCCTCCTAAGTTCAATTCCCTTTCCACTGAACATATAGCAAAAATATTCCAGTCACTGCTCCCAGCTGCCCCAGAAAATGTGGTTTAGGCACGCTCCTGCCCAGTGACAGATGTGACTGAGATGGACAGGAAGACCTCTTAAGGTCATATCCCACCACACAGACCCTTCCCCTGAACAGGTGGGAGGTGAGTCAGGCACTGGATGTCATGAGTGGGAGGGAGATGGAAAAGTCGGCGCAAGGAAGAAGCAGGGACTTTTACCAGAACTGAGTGGGACACAACCAGCCCCTCTTATCTGCCCCATCTCTGCCCCACTGTTTCCTCCAGGTTGGAAACAATGAGCAGAAGCGTACCTGGCCCTCCCCCAGGGTGCACTGGGGAGAAGGTGACTCAGTCCTTGGCCCAGCTCCAGCAAGAGTTGGGGCGTGATGAGGTCAGGATGGAGTCCTTAAGAGCCTCTCCATCCCAGAGCTGCAGACGCAGGGATGGCCTAGGGGGTGCGACCCATCAGGCTCTTACCCTTGGGACTGCTTGCAGGGCTCTCAGACCAGTCAAACACGCCTCCCAATGAGTGCGCCAGAGCAGATCCGCGAGGCTCCAGCTCCTTCCCCGCATGTTCACAGGCAGATCCGCACGTCAGCACCTGCACATGCAGCTTGGGCCCAGGCACTCCAGGCCTGAGGTGTGGCTCCTCACTTCCCAGACTGTGAGAAGCAATACCTTGCCTCCCAGGAACAGCCATGCACATCTCTCCAGAGCCTGCTGCTCTCCAGTCTTGGGCATTGTGGTTACAAACCTCTTTTATTTTAGCCACAAGCCTTTTTAGAAAAAAAAAATAAAAAATTATATGCAGTGTCCCAGGATACTGTGTAAGAGAGATCAAAGCCAGGCTTTGCTGACTGGTGCCGGGGAGGGACTGTGAACCTCCTGTGGTGCCCACCATGTGCTTTTTTAATGTTCTCTGAGGGGCCTCTGGTGGCGAAGTCCATAGGGAGTTGAACTGCTAACTCAGACCCCGTGCCACTTCGGCGGTTCTCATCCACCCCATGGGAGGAAGATGGGCAGCCTTCTCCTGTGGGATTTGGAGTCTCTCAAAACCCACTAGAGCATCTCTGAGTCAGTTTTAATATATTTATGTACTTTAAATAATTTACTCCTCAAAACAGCTGTTTGGAGGTGGATTATTGTTACACCCTTTTTACAGATGAGAAAACTGAGACAATTTGCTCAGGGTCACACAGTAAGAGCTTGAAGGGGACTTCAAATCCATGCAATCAGCTGGAATCTGGTCGCTTAAGTACAGTATATGTTGCCCTGCCCAAGACTCATCAGAACACAATTGGAAACCATTGCCTTAACCCCAAAGAACTCCTCTTTAAGGGGGGTTTTGGGGGGCCAGCACCTGGAGCAGGGTCTTGATTGCCCTTAGTCCTCAGCCTCAGGTTAACTAGGACCTTCCTGAAGACCACGTGAGGGTCCTGTGCATGTAGACCCCTTTCCCTGCTGCAGTAGAGATGGTTTATCTGGACCGTCCATGTTCCCCAGTTCTTAGAAGCTCCGGTTGCTTAGTGGTAAGAAGCTGTGCTGCAATCCCAGAGACATGCAGTTCAAACCCACAGGGGGAGGCTGGGCAGTCTCCTCCCATGCAATTTACTGCCTCTGAAACCCCACTGGAAGGTCAGCTGTGGATCAGTTCTGACTCAGAAGCACATAACAATACAACTGGGGAAACCAGCCCAGGGCAGGGGCTTGGGAATATACAGTGACTGTTCCCCATAGAGACTGGTGCACACATACACATATATACATGCACATATACACATGCCACGTGCATGCATGTACACTTACCATGTGCATGGACGTATGAATTATGTACAGGCGTGTACACTGCATGTATGCATACAGACACAATATCCCGTACACTCGTGTACACCGATGTGCACTCACATAGACATGCCTACACACACCTTCCCTCCCACTTCTGGGCCAGGAGCAGTCGCTTCTGCAGGCCCCGAAGGGCCTCTGTGCTTCCTGTACACCTGCGTCTCTCAGGTTTGAAAACCACACATGTCTTGTCTCCTGACTCTGCTGCTAAAAAGGAGGTTGAAACTAAGAAGAGCATAGAGGCAGATAGAGAGACTAGGGCTCTATACCCTCCCTCCAGTTTCTTAGCACTCGCTTCTTATTTCTCCACGGGACTTGTAACTATATGTCTTTGAACAAGCTGACTCCAGAAGGTGAAGGTTCACAGCTTTGAAAGATAGAGGACTGTTTACAGAAAGAAACTTCCCAGAATTTATCCATGCAAATTCCACACCACACTTGCCACACCCAGTGCCTCTCTGGCCAAGTTCTGGTAACCAAACCTAGACAGTTCTGGCCTGCAAACAGCTGTCCCCTGCGGTGGGCACTTTAATTTGCATTGGGGTTCTGGATGTCTGGACACAAAAATGCTGATGACAGGCAGAGCAGGGGGATCCCCCAGAACAGGGAAGTAGAGAAGTTTTTCACTCTCAAAGGCCTCTCTTCTTCACCCCCTAGTTCTGCCATCCCACTCCACTTCACCCCTCACTACTGTCAGATGGCTGTTTTCTGCTTATTCAATCCTGAAGCTAGTTCCCCAGCTCAGTCCAGAGGAGAAACCAGGCTAGATGCAGAAACAGTGCCAATCAGAAATCAAATGTGCACATTCCCGGGTCACAGCATCTCTGGCCCCTCCGTTAATTCTGAGTACTGCACGTGGGCTCTGTGTTAAGTGTCGCTGTCCCTGCTCCCTGTGCACCTGTCCCACTGTGCAAGCTCCTGTCGGCCCTGGTTCTGTTAGACGTGGACGAGGTGCTGCTCCTGTACAGTCCTTGAGCCAGTGCATCCTCCAAAAAATGCAAAATAGCAACAATAGTACTTTTCATATGTGTCTCTGCTCTTGAGTTGATTTCGACTCCTGGCAGCTCCATTGACAGCAGAACTGTGCTCCTCTTGGAGGTATTTTGGTTGTGTCTCCACAGTGGCTGGCTTTCGGAGGTGGCTTTTCAGAGTATCTGCTTCAGTTAGCAACTGAGCATGTCAGTCATGTGGGCCACCTGGACCACCAGCTCATCCTCAGCACAGAGAAATAGCATGAAAGCTGGGAGACCAGGGCTAGCACGCACGTACTCCCTCTCTCCCCAACCTGCCCAGTGACTGTGAGGCCTTGGGCAAGTCACTTTCCTTCTCTGGGCCTTTGATTCTTCATCTATAAAAAGAGACCGAGCCGTGGACCTCAGCATTCTGTAACTATAATGGAGACATGTTCCCTCTCCGCCAACCTGGCTCTGCTGGGCATGGTCTAGATCCTGCCCACACGTGCTCCAGCCATGCGCTGGGGGGTCAGGAGGGTTGGAAGGAGATTACCGAAGGGACAGTGGTGCTGATTTCTAATAAAAAACGTGGCTTTCTATAAACACCTTTTCAACTTAGTTATATTTATGACACAACATACATGAAATGAAAGCCATATAAGCAATAAAGAAAATATTCATAATTTAGAATAGTCATGGTAAGGTGGTGGCCCTCAGGAGCAAATGCTGAGAAAGGATTCTGGTGAAAGTGATTTAATAGGAAGTGTCCCCCAGAAAAGTCTGAAAGGGCGTGGGACCAGGAAGGAGAAGAGACCATCGAGTGGGAAGGGATGACTCAGTCCCACAGTGGAGATTGGTGCTTGGGAGAGAGTTCCAGAAAGGGCCTGGCCAGGACGAGGGGTCTGGGCCAGGGCGAGGGAGCCAGAGCCTTCAGAGGCCACACCCACCAGTCCCAGGTTCTGCCCTCCCACTCTCTTTAAGAGATGCCCCCACAAAGAGACCCCAGCTGTATGCTGGACGTCATCAGTCTCAGAGAAGGCACACTTTGGGGTACATGAGAACACCCTCTGCTGCAAGCATCCTTATCCTTTGTAATGTATTTTCTCAGATATGTAGTAGTATTTAAATAATGTTGCTGTAAAGGTTTCCAAGACCCCGGCTTATCTTGTCCAAACAGCCCTGTCTGGATTATTATTATATTCCTGCCTCGTCTGGAAGCCCTAAAAGATAACTGGTTAGTCATAGGTTACCCCACATGGTTAATAGCCGAGTCCAAAACAAGTATAAGACAAAAGAAATAACGTGAGCAGGTCGTTTTCAGAACCTGCCATGTATGTTGTGCAATTATGGGAAACCCAACAGCCAAGGCACAGCCCCAGGCCTCCCAGTCACCCTCTAGTCAGGTCCTGGGCTTCTGCCCCACACCCCACACCTAACCACCCATCCCACCCACTCCCACAGGTGATCGTGTATGTGGAGGACGTCAACGACGAGGCCCCTGTGTTTACACAGCAGCAGTACAGCCGCCTGGGGCTTCGAGAGACCGCAGGCATCGGCACCTCCGTCATCGTTGTCCGAGCCACTGACCGGGACACTGGTGAGGCTGGCAGCAGGAGTGGATATTCCCAGCATGTCCAGCCAACTCCTACAAGTCCCTGTCCTTCTCAAAAGTGCCACAGCTCCACCATTCAGCCACCCCCAGAGCCAAGAGGGGCTCCTGGCTCAGACTTGGTCTCACTCCACCAGATTCCCAGACTTCTGGGATCTACTGAAGTTGTCCAGCCCTGGATGGAGAGAGGTCACATCCTTAGAAAGTATGGTTTTATCATCCCAGGACCCAAAAGCTCCCTGCTGACCACTGGCTAGGGACTGGTCAGGGCTAGGAGATGGCTCCTGGGGGCATTCTAAATCAGGAAGCCAGCTGGGCACTCTCCTGTGCCCTGCAGGCTCAGCTCAGGCCTGGCACACCCAGGCTTCTAAAGGGTGCTTCCTTTCCATTCTCAGTGCAGGAATCTGCGAAGGGTTGGCCTGCTTGAGGGCCCTAAGCCCCAGTGCTGGCTGGCCATGGTCATGGTGCAAGATGAAGGATAAACGTGCCTATCACTGTGACGCTCTCTAGGAGATAGCGCCATCTGCATCCTGACCCTAAACCAAGTGCTTCTTGAGGGTCAACCTCCCCACAGGGCCATCCCCTGAGCTCCTGCCCTTCCTTCCTGTCAGAACTGGACCTCCCCTCAGGTAGCTCCTGCCCGTGTCCCTCTCCAGACAGCCCGGCCCACCTCAGGCACAACAGGACGAGAGAGGCATTAATCTGTGGAAATTTCCAAATGGACAATGGGTCATTCTCGGCCTGGCATGTTTGTCACCTCAGACCACATCAGCACCTGTCTCCCACTGGTTCCTGAGCTTTCTTGGACTGGGAACCCCTTTGAGGAACTAATGAAAGCTATGGCCTATGCCCCAGAAAAATGCACATCCATCAGGAGCATGGCTCATCATCCCAGGAAGCCTGGGATTTCTTGGGTCGTTTTATGACCTTTCATCGCCCCTCCCACTTGAAGTCTGTAAGCTCTCAGCTCCTTGTTGTCAGGTGACCTCGAGTCACCTCTGACTCACAGAGACCTTGCCCAGCCCAGCTCTAGCCCCCAGTTAAAGGGTGCCCCTCGAGGCATGATGTTGTTTTTAAGGGCTGTGGAGTCGGAACTGACTCATAGCTGACCCTCCAGTGCGTTTTCAGAGGCAGTAAATCCCATGGGAGGAGATGGCTCATCTTTCTCCCATAGAGCAGCTTGTAGATTTGAACCACAGGCCTTCAGGTTGGCAGCGCGATTCCTTACCACTGTCACCCGAGTTCCCTGGCCTAGTGGTAAAGAGCTATGCTGACTACCTGAAGGCATGTGGTTCGAATCCACAAGTTGCTCTGTGAGACAAAGATGGGCAGTCTTCTCCTGTGCCATTTACTGCCTCTGAAAACTCACTGGAGGGCCAGCTGAGAGTTGGTTCTGACTCGATGATACATAACAACAAGGCACAGTGATTTGGGGGGTGGAGGGGCATAGAGAGAACAGGGAGGTGTCTGTGTCACGAAAGCCCTAGATTCCAGCATCTGAATGAAAACCGAGCTATTCTGGATGCTGTCCCCTTGTCTACCACACTCGGTCAAAGCCCCGGATAAGGAACATTGCCATCTCTCCACCCTGTGCTTCTTCAAATACACAGGGAGGCCCTGGAGCTTCAATTCTGATAGTCTAGGAGCAGAACAAGCCTTTGTGGTGCTGTGGTTAAGGCACTCGCTGCCAACTGAAAGGTTGGCAGTTTGAACCCCCCCCCCCAGCTCCTCTGTAGGAGAGATGGCTCGTCTGCTCTGTAAAGATTTACGGCTTTGGAAGCTCTGAAACCATTCTGCTCTGTCTTGTAAAGTCACTGTGGACTAGACTCTGAGATGGCAATGAGTTTTTGTTTGTTTAAGAGCGGGAACCAGGCGCATCTGACATAGCTCTCATGCTAAGGCCTGTTTCCAGAGAGAATGAGAACAGTGCAGCAGACCTAGCCAATGACAGAGGCTTCCGCTCCATCCTCCACCTTGTCCCACACCGCCAAGGCCCTGGCTCGCCTGCTCCCTCAGGGACAGCACCGGTGTGAGTGTGGGCAGCCGAGGAAGCCACAGGCACCCACGCTCCCACCTGGGACTGCACAGCCTCTTGTGTTCCCCTGCAGGGGATGGTGGCTTGGTGAACTACCGCATCCTGTCGGGCGCAGAGGGGAAATTCGAGATTGACGAGAGCACAGGACTCATCATCACGGTGGACTACCTGGACTACGAGACCAAGACCAGCTACCTGATGAATGTGTCTGCCACGGACCAGGCGCCACCCTTCAACCAAGGCTTCTGTAGCGTCTACATCACTCTGCTCAATGAGCTGGACGAGGCCGTGCAGTTCTCCAACGCCTCTTACGAGGCCACCATCCTGGAGAACCTGGCACTGGGCACAGAGATTGTGCGCATCCAGGCCTACTCCATCGATAACCTCAACCAGATCACTTACCGCTTCGATGCCTACACCAGTGCCCAGGCCAAAGCACTCTTTAAGATAGATGCCATCACGGTGAGGGCCAGGGCTCCCCCTGGGAGCCTTTAAATCTCACCAGCATTTATCAAGCTCCTTCTCCATACCCAGCACTCCCTCTTGGCCATAAAATATACATGAGACAAGTCACTGTAATACATCCCTTTTAATATTTCATGCCAGGGTAAAGTTCTATATCCAGGCAGTCTGGAATCCTTGTTAAATGGCAGTGAAAACTATGTAAGCCTTCATATTTCCCTTTTTACCTTGGCTGTTCTGAAGTTCAGATACGTTCTATGTACATGTTGTTGTTATGTGCTGTCGAGTTGCCTGTGACTCACAGCAACCCTATGTACAACAGCCCTAACCCTGCTCTATCCAGTGCCATTCTCACTGTCTCCAACACACCCACCCCCATTACTCCAGTTACTGAATCAATCCACCTCATCAAGGGTCTTCCTCTCCTTCTCTATCCCTTCACCCTCCCAAGCATGATGTCCCTCTCCAAGGACTGGTCCCTACTTGCAACATGTCCAAAGTTTGTCAGACGAAGCTTCAGAATCCTTGCTTCCAAGACAACATAACAACAACAATAATACATCCCTTTTAATATTTAGTGCCAGGAGAAAGTTCTATATCAAAGCAGTCTGAAATCCTTGTTACTTGGCAATAAAAGCTGTACAAGCCAACCTGTTTCCCTTTTCACCTTGGCTGTTAGGAAACTCAAATATGTTATGCATACATAACAACAATATATCCCTTATACTATTTAGTGCCAAGAGAAAGCTCTATACTCAAGCAATCAGGAATCCTTGTTACTTGGCAGTGAAAACTATACAAGCCATCATCTTTCCCTTTTTACTGTGGCTGTTAGGAAGCCTAGGTATAAGTTCGTGCTTCACTGAACCAGCCACTTTTAGCAAGGTTTCTGGTGCAGATATCTCACCAGTCTGCTCCTATCTGCTGCCCACATCTTTGCTTTATTCTTTTATCAGAATCTCTTTCAAATCCTTTAGAAATAGGAAAGGTAAAAATTAATACGATGTGCTCAACCAGGTCCCGCAGAATTTTGGGAACATAAAGATGGATAAGACCCTTCCTGGCCTCAAAGAGTTCTCAGGCTTAGAAGGGAGGTAGGAAAAACCAAAGATGAAGATCCAAGCACCACACGGGAAGATTGGGAAAGAATTCTAATGGAGTGTTTCTAGGGCATCAGTTAAGGAGAGCATACCTGGCCAGAGACTAGGAAGCCTTCACAGAAGAGTGGTGTCTGAATGGGATTCGAGAGAGATTCCAGGTTTCCAGGGACAGAGGTTCCTGCGGAAGTGATGTGGGGCAGAGGGAGTGGAGGTGGGAGGATGGGAAAGATGTCCAAGGATAGCTGGGCGTGGCATGCTTGGGGGTCTGATGGCTGTGATGTCTTCACTTGTTCCATCTGGCCCCTCCCTGCAGGGTGTGATCACTGTCAAGGGCCTGGTGGACCGGGAGAAGGGCGACTTCTACACACTGACAGTGGTGGCAGATGATGGTGGCCCCAAGGTGGACTCCACCGTGGTGAGTGCATCGCAGGGCAGGTCCCCACAGGTGCAGCCTGCTACACAGACTCAACATTCCCCCTCTAAACCCACACTTTCACCTGCCAGCCCCAGCACATGGCCAGCAGTGAGCAAGGACACTGGGAAGCCCTGGCCAGCACGTGAGGGCAGAGCACGGAGTTGCCTCTTTCCTGTGCCATAGCCTGGAGGGGCTGGGTGGTGCTGCAGGTAGCCAGGCATGCCTTCTGCAGTGGGCTGGGCCAAGGAGATCTCAGACAGGCGGGCTGAAGGCGGGGTACATCCTGACAGCTTGGGAGCGCTAACTATCTGCATTTCTCTCTTCTTCCTCCTCTGCCCTCCTGCTTTCTCTGCCACAGAAGGTGAGTAATCTGTGGATGGTTACCCCCCAAGCCACTGGCTGTGGCCAGTGGTGACTCGAGCCCTGCATGGCACTGAGCTTCCTGCCCTCCTCGTCCAGGAAGAGGACACACAGACAGGCCTGCAGCAAGTCCCAGCTCAGGCCCTCTCATGGCCTCTCCATCCAGCCTCTCTTGGACCCTGGGCCCAGGCCCTTCCCCAGCACGTCTTTTATGTCCAGCCCTGCGTTTATGCCCAGGCTAGTCCTCTGCACCTTTCCCAGGCTGGCGATCTGGGACACGAGGTGTGCCAACAAAGGTGTAACTGGAACACACATTGAAAAAAACACTAGCTCTGTTCCTCACTGGCTGTGTGACGTGGGCAAGTTGCTTAACCTGTCTGTGCTTCCCCTTCTAAATGAGAGCTATCCCTGTAGCCCTGCCTTGGGCGAGTGTGTGTGTGTCTCTGTGTGTGTGTCTGTGTAATGGCTGTGCAGAGGAGAGCCCTCTGTAAGCTCCTCCCCGGAGGAGGGCTGTGATGAGAGCATGCTCCGTGTCCCCATTTACGGTGAAGCTGTGCAGGAGACACCATCCCACTCTGAAAGTCAGTGTAAGGACTATGTGAGCTGCACAGAGCAGGGTCAGGGTGGGTGCTCAGGGAAGGCAGCTCTGGACTCCATGTGTCACCGCTGCTGAGGGGTGAAGCCACGGGAGAGGACAGTGATGGTAGCAGAAAGCCTCGTGCTGGGAGCACATAACGTGACGATGTGAAGATGAAAGACACTATTCCAACAACCATACCACTAAGCAATGGGGAAAGGGAGAGGTGTCAGACAAGGCAGCCTGAAGCATGCTGGTAGGAAGAGGTGACCAGGCTAGAGGGAGTACCTGAAGGGTGCCCCGTGGAGGTGGGATCCTGAGCTGATAATTAGAATATTTGACCACCTATTCCATTTGGGCACTGGCTAATCAGGCCAGACACCATCCATGACCACCTCTTACCCACATGGGGTGTCTAGCTCCTAATCAGGGCCACACTTTCACCCTTTCTGGTGTAAAAGGACAGAAGCCAGAGAGTGTCCAAGGCAGAAACCAACTCTTCCTTAGGGTCCTGAGCTTTGAGGGTCCACGGAGATCCTGGCCCCAGTGACCGTGGTTACAGCGTGACTGAACCTGGAGGCACAGGCTCCCTAAGCCCATGGAGCTAGTCCAGGGGTGACGAGTCTACAAGCAACAGTGAACCCACTTGGGTGCCCAGCCAGCAACCAGGGAGCAGAGCCCTTGGGTGGGCAGTAATGGGTGGGTGCTTTGTGCCATATAGCTTCCCTCCAAGGCTACCAAGGACAAAGGTCATCTGTCTCTCAGGTGGCCTTCACAGTCAGAGGGTGTAAGGCTCAGAAAGGCTAACTGGTGCCTGTTCACCCACTTCAGTGTCCTCATTTATAAAGTGGGCTGACCCTCAGTTGTGATAAGGAATCTGGGAGTTGAGGCTAGGTTTCACCAGGCAGACAGCAGGGATGGTGGGGTGCCCCCCACCCTGGGACTGCTGGAACCCCTCCCACACGGAGACCCACTTCCTTTGTGTGGCTGGCCAGCTGCCTCGGAGTGTCTTCTGCTCAGCCTCTTTGGGGGCAGTATAGTTCCAGTCACCCAACTCTTTTGCAGGAAATAAGGCCCCCCCACTGCCCGTTGACTCTGTCCTGGCTTCCTCCCAGAGGCTCCCAGTGTCTGCCCCAGATAAACCAGCTTGCTGAGCCCCGGACACCTCAAATATGCTGGAGTGGAGGCAGGCTGTGGGGCCTTTTAAATGTGGCATCATTTCCTGCGTAAGGCCTGGAACCTTCAAACCACAGCTTACTTACACCTGACTCCTCCCATTGACCAACCCCCCCCCTTCCCCCCATCCCCCAGCAGCACTTATAGGCCCTGGGGGCAGGGTGTGGAGGCAGACAGGCTCTGGGCGAGGTGTGGAAGCAGGCAGGAAGGGGCTCTATCATCAGAGCAACACTCATGGGCCCTTGGGGTTAAGGAAGAAAATTTGGACCACAAGCCCTAGACGGGAGACACAAACTATTTCTAATTCCTGTAGCCCGTGGTGCCTGTCATCAGTGGCTAACACTGAGGCTGACTGTTCCTGAGTGGGACGTTTGACAGCCCTCTCACCCCCACCCCAGTCAGCACCATCATCACAGCCGTTATGGGAGGAACACCTACTGTGTGCCAAGCGCTGGGCTGAGCTCCAGGGTAAGACAGGAGACCCAGATCAGACACAGACCCTGCCATCCATCGTGAGCGAGAGACGTGCTTGTTGTCAGGTGCTGTGGGGTCTGCCCTCACTCCCAGCCACCCCATGGACAGCAGAACAAACATCCTGCCTGACCCTGCACCATCCCCACAGTCTGCTGTGTTGAAGCCCACAGCTGCAGCCCTGTGTAAGGGTCTCCCCCCTCTCTCTGGCTGGCCCTCTACTTTTCCAAGTCCAACATCCTTCCCCAGGGCCTGCCTCCTCCTGATAGCATGACCAAAGCATGTCAGACAGACTCTCATCCCCTGCGTGTTCTGGCTGCACTTCTCTCAACAGATTTCTTTGTTCTTTTGGTTCTCAGTTTATTGTTAGATGCCATAGAATCAATTCCACATTGTACCCCACGTGATGGAGTAGAACTTCCTCTTAAGAGGTTTTTTTGGGGGTAATCTTTTCTTTCTCCGCCCCTCCTTGGTTAATCTGTATGAAAGCAGATTGCCAGGTCTTTCCCTCGCCAAGCCCTAGGTGGATTCAGACCACAACCTTTAGGTCAGCAGCTGAGCACTTAACCGTTTGCATCACCTGGCTTCCTTTAAGACATAGCAGAAGAAAGAGAGTGATCAAATGACCACACGAATAAAATGTGTAATGCAAGGAAACGCCCATAGTAAGGTATCAGCTAGTCAGAGAAATCAAGGAGGGCTTTCTTGGGGAGGTGACTCAAGCTGAGAGTCACAGGATGCATAGGAGTCAACACAGCAAAGAAAGATGTTTCAGGCAGAGACCTCATAGTGGGGCGAAGCATGGTGAGTCTAACGAGGCCTTGACTTGAGAGACAGAGCTTGGGGGGTATCAAGTCACAAGAGGCCTTGCTTGTTTTCAAGTGCAATAGGCCTTATCACTGTCCCTTTACCAATGAGCACATTCCTTGACTAAAATTCATGGCAGATGGGCAGAGCCAAAGTCTTGGTCAGTAGGAAAACAGAACTGGGACCCTGAAACTTTTTTTGTTTTCTCCTTTATCCCTTCACGAATTCTGGGGAGCTAGATGGTCTTGCCTCCATTTTTATGCAAATAAATGGAAAACCAGAGAAGTTGATTTATCCTAAGTCACACAGCTAGTAAGTAGCCTGGCTGATCGCCTTCTCAAGCCTGGGCTCCGGCTACTCTGGTTCTGTTTCAAGATGAGGGAATGTGGCCAGACCTGACTGCATAGAGCCTAGTCAGGAGCGAGGACAGAGTGGGATTTCCAGTGCAGTGTGGAGGGATCTGTGTGAATGGGGAGCCCCTGAACCTCCCGGTCCCTGAGTGAGGTGAGGATGGAGTCTGGCTGCGCAGAACAGTGGGAAGAGCCCTGCCCTGGGAATCCTACAGCCCAGGCCCCTGCTCTGCTTCCTTATCAGTGGTCCCAGCCCTGTGACCATCACCAGATAGAAACTTGCCCACAGCAGGGCCTCTCTTCCTGCTTGCTGTGCAGCCTCTGCTGAGACCTGCACCAAGGACCTGAGACAGTGCGCCCTTGGCTTGCACTCTTCCCGCGTTCAGTTTTATCTGATGGTTGGAAATTCCCCTCTTCCCCTTCTACACTTTCCCTCCTGACTGATGGCCAGCTTCATCCTGCTTCTGGGCCAGAGTTCCTTCTGATCCAGAGGAGGCAAACAAGGTGGCCCACAGGCTGTTATCCGTCAGTCAGATGTGTTTTCAATGGCCTCCACTTAATTTTCTTCTTTAATTTTCACTGTTGGCTAAGTCATTAGGAGACTTTCCACCTTCCATGTGGAGGCTCTAGTGGCTTAGTAGTAAGGAGTTGTGCTGCCAACCCAAAGGCAGATGATTCGAGTCCACCAGCAGCTCCATGGAAGAAGGATCGGCAGTCTCCTCCCGTGAGATTTACAGCCTCTGAGAACTCACTCGAGGGTCAGCTGTGGGTCAGGTCCCACTCAGCAGTGCATAACAACGCTGAGGGAGACCCAGGTTCAGTTCCTGGCCCGTATACCTCATCTGACAGTGGAAGCTTGCATGTTGCTGAGATGCTGCACCCTATAACGGCATTCCCAAACTAAAGTAGACCAGGAAGAAAGGCCTGGCGAGCTACTTCTTAATTATCAGCTGGTGATATCCTGATGGGTCACCCAGTCCGAGCCACACTGTGTCATGGAGACGGGGTCATCATGAGTCACATTCCAACTCAGCAACCGCTAGCAATGATGATTTCATGTGAAAATCTGGATTTTTAGTTTCTTCTGAAAAGCAGCCCCACTCCTGCTTCAGGGTCAGAGTTCCTTCCCCTAATCCAGAGGAGGCAAACAAGGAGGCCCCAGGCTGTATCAATTCAAATCTACCAGCTGCTCCATGAGAGGATGGGCAGTCTCCTCTTGTGCGATTCACCGCCTCTGAAAACCTGCTGGAGGGTCAGCTATGGGTCGGTTCCAACTCGACAGCACACAATAACAAAACCCTACAAAAGTAGGAAGCCAGTTCCAAGCCAGCTTTCTGTGACAGATTCGGAGTTGAGCGTTTCGGGTGTGTGTTTTCCAGCTTGCCCAGTGTGCACTGCCTCTTAGGCCTTGGAAGCTCCTCGCCAGGCCTCTTCCCTCACTTTCCTGGTCCCCAGCACTTCCTGTGGGTGCAGCTCTATGGATCGAGTCTCTCACACCTCTGCTGCTAGAAGACAAGGGCTTCTTGAGGCCTTTGTAAACCAGAGATTGGCCCAGGTCAGCTCTGAAAGCTCGCTGGAGTCTGGAGCCAGTTAGGAGTCTGGTCCACTCTGGACACAGTGAGCTCCCAGTGTTTAGGGACAAGGAGGAGAAGGAGGCAGGGGTTTCTGACCACGACTGTCCCCCAGGTCTATATCACTGTGCTGGACGAGAATGACAACAGCCCCCAGTTTGACTTCACCTCCGACTCAGTGGTCAGTGTGCCTGAGGACTGTCCTGTGGGCCAACGTGTTGCCATGGTCAAGGCCTGGGACCCTGATGCTGGCAGCAACGGGCAGGTAAGCACCAAAGGAAATAGCCCAGCTTCTCTCTCTGTCTCTCTGTCTCTCTCTGTCTCTCTCTCTCTCTCAGCAAGAGAGTTCTCATCCAAGTCAGTCCCTGTCCCCAAGCAGCACCACCCAGCACACTCCCCTTCAGTCAAAACCACACGGCAACTTCATAGCATGTCCAGGCCGTTTGGTCCAGGTCAGGCCACATAGACACAGAAGCTTTAAAGATTGGCCACAACTTAGCAAGGTGCAAACAAGAAGGTTAAATGTCTTAGTGACATTGTGTCACCCTTATCCACAAACCACGCAGCATCTCACACTAGTGTGGCAAGCCAGAAATCAGCCCAAACACACACACAGCCATCCCTGAGACACAATACACTCCTCCCCGCTGCCCCTCACTCCAGCTGATGTGGACGGTGGGCTGGGGTCCTCCTCCTCTTTGGCTCTTACAAGCCTTGGTCAGCTGTTGCTTAGCCCTGAGCCTCCTCTCTCTGAACTGAAGATAGTGCTTCATGCTATTTGTACTTTCCCCTCAGCCCTGGGAAAACATCAGAGAGGCAGGGGTCAGACCCAGCCCTCCTGGCCCCTCAACCAGTGTGCTGACCTTCCCAGGCCCTGCACTGTCAACCAGTTTGAGAGAGATGAATTACTTCTGCATAAAATGTTCTAATCTCAGGTTCACATACTGAGCAAAGATACGCAGCAAGGATCAGGCAGTCCCCCTTGGCCTGACCTAGCTGCCTACCCTCCCTGTGTCCTCCCCCTCCCCCTTTCTCCTCCCCGACAGGTGGTCTTTTCCCTGGCCTCTGGCAACATCGCTGGAGCCTTTGAGATCATCACAACCAACTATTCCATTGGTGAAGTGTTTGTGGCCAGGCCCCTGGACAGAGAAGAGCTGGACCACTACATCCTCAAGGTATATCCCTGGCTAGGACATCACTGCTGGCCCAGTGGAGGGCCTTATTCACTGCCCCTCTACTAACACCAGGTGACATGGGGACAGCATTATGGGCTGAGATGGTTGAGAAACTGAGTGAGGCCAATCCAGGAGAGAGGTCCAGGGAGGGGTCTTCAGAGCAGGAAGCAGCTGAGGTGATACTCCATCTGAGATACGAGTGGGGAAAGGAAGCCTGGGAGAGTTGAGAGGCCCAGAACTTGTCCATGAACTCTGTGTGACTTTATTTACCCTACCTGAGTCTCATTTTCCCCACCTGTGCAATGGGCACACACACACACACACACACACACACACACACACACACCGCTCCAGTCTTTTCAAGGTATAAGCAGGCACAAAGATCCCCTTTACTGCTGAATTTCTGTGACGAGCGTTTTCTGCAGAGAGGTCCAGGGCCGTGGGGTGACACTCTTTAAAGGGCCCTGGGCTGCTGTAGCACTCACTGCTGACCCACTAGGTCAGGCGCATTGGGCCTCTTAAGGACAAGCTCAAGCTTTTTGAGAACCCCTATGTCTGATGAAAGGATTGTTTGGGGCTCCCCCTATCACCAGAGACCAGCTCTAAGTGCAGGGAGCACAGGCCTTTAAAACAAAAGGCAAATGTCCAAGGTCAACTGGCTGGCCCAGGTCCATGGTCATGTGAAGACACAGCCCAGACAGTCAGGAGGCATCAGGAGGTAAAGACCTGGGCACACTGGAGTCAGATTCTAAGCCAAGGTGCTACGTAGACAAGGGAGGGGCAGGAATTACTTAGGGGAGTAGTGGGGAGAGAAGGTGGAGGAATCCAGGCCTCACTCGGGATGATGGGCTAGCCAGGCTCCATTCTCCCCACAAGCAGACAGCCCTGGACTCCCCGTTCCTGGGCCTCCTCACTCCTCCCATTAGCCCTGACTCCAGTCATCCTTCCCCCCAAAGGTTGTGGCTTCCGACCGTGGCACCCCTCCACGCAAGAAGGACCACGTCCTGCAGGTGACCGTTCTAGATGTCAATGACAACCCTCCAGTGATCGAGAGCCCCTTCGGATACAACGTCAGTGTGAACGAGGTGAGGGCATTCCCACCACACAGCTGCTGTGGTCAGTGGGCGTGAGTTGCCTGGGAAACCCACAGATTACTGGGATCGTATTCTACCATATTATGCACACAATTCCCCGAGTCTTCCACTAGGCAGTGAGGTTAAGGAAACGGGAATTATGACTGGCTTTTCCACAATACCACCCCAGCACCTGATCTAGTCCCAGAACTCCCTGCCCTGTGTCTTGATGAGGAGCAATAAAACCACCTAACAGGGAACACAGGGTGACCCTGTAATACAGAGCAGAACCGTCCGTGGGCATGCCTTGGCTGGAAGCGTCCAGGAAGGAGCTGGCCCGGGCTTGCCACCTGTGTGGTCAGTGCGTGAGTTTGAACCACAAACCTGCAAGTTAGCAGTCACGTGTGAAAACTCTTTCTACCACCACACAATCACCAGCAGTCAGAAGTGGTTTGAAGCAAACGGCAGGGAATGGAGTTTATCCTTAAAGGGCCAAGAACTGTTTCTTTGTCCAAGCTGAGAGTGAGGTACTGCAGGAGACCATCCGCCCACATCACTGGCTGTCACACCAGGTGGCATGGTCACTGAGGTGCAATAGCACAGGGGTAGCGTCCAGCTGCAGGCCATCCAGCCTTGATTCATATCGTGGCTCTCCGGAGCCTGGCTGTATGGACTTGTGGAAATCACACCTTTGTATCTCAGTCTTCTCACCTGAAAACAGGCTAACATCAGTATCTAACTGATAGGGTTATATAGACAGGATGCAAAGATTCATGCACGACTCAGAAGTAGGTGCCAACAAAGTAGATGCTGATGGCTTGCCACCATCGTCTGCACCATTGTCACCTTGTTCCCAAGTAGACAAGATCAAGTTTTCTAAATGTTACTTTTAAGCCATCTCACAACCAGAAACGATGTGTACTAGACTGCCCCAGAGACCTCGAATCCAGATTGACCACTCTCCTGTTTTCTTTACAGAATGTGGGTGGGGGCACAACTGTGGTCCAGGTGAGAGCCACCGACCGTGACATTGGGCTCAACAGCATCCTGTCCTACTACATCACCGCGGGCAACGACGACATGACCTTCCGCATGGACCGCATCAGCGGCGAGATCACCACACGGCCTGCCCCACCAGACCGTGAGCACCAGAGCTTCTTCCACCTCGTGGTCACCGTGGAGGATGAGGGCACCCCCACCCTGTCGGTGAGTCATGGGGCGACCTCAGAGAGGGAGGGCTGTAGAAGGAGCTGTTACACCTCGGTGTTAGAGCATCAAGATGGGTACACAAGGAGCCCCACCAAGTGGGAGAATCCTTGGGAACACTTGTCTCAGCTTTAATCCATCAGCCCGCAGCATTTGCGGAGTGCCTGTTGTATGCACCGTGGGAGTCTGTTTTTCCCAAGCCTGCTGGGAGCTTCACTGAGGGCTCTTTGCTTGCACAGAGCAGCTCTGTGCACTGGCATAGGTGAACCCCGTACATCAGGCTGCCCCAGGAAGCAGGTAGGAGCCAAAGTCATTTCCACAGGTCACTTGCCAAGCTGTGTATCTTTGGAGTCACACTGACCAATATAGTGACTTCGTGCCAAAATGATAGTTGTGCCCTCTGACCCTTTTCCTTTTGGTCTTGCTGATGTGGCATACTGTCACAAAACATCAGAGTGGAGGGCTTAAGGGTCCTGTGATCCAATCTCATGCTCGCTTCAGGATGAATCATCCTTCCTGGTCATCTTTCCAGTAGCATTTAGTGACACAATTGACTGCAAATGACAGAAATGTAACTATAGAGTCATAAATAAACCAGAGTGCTCTGGTGGCCTAGTGAGTAAGGAGTTGCACTGCCAACCCAAAGGCTTGAGGTTTGAATCCAACCAGCTGCAACTCAGGAGAAGGATGGGCAGTCTCCTCCCATGCAGTTTACTGCCTCTGAAAATCCACTGGAGACTCTGATCTGTGTTAGTTTTGATTCGATGGTACCAGACAACAACATATCTTTCCTACATAAAAATTCTGTAGACTGTTATGAATGTTTCATGCTTAGTGATTTCAGAGCAATTGGCCTTTACCTCATGGTTGCAAAATGGCTGCAATAGCCCCAGCTACTGTTCAAGGTCTGCAAGATTGAAGAAGGAGATGGGGCGTGAAAGCTGGATGGAGAGACTGTGGGGTGGAATAGGAAGTGAGGGGAAGTGGGAGTGATTTGCAGACTGAGAGGAGGAATTTGGAGTCAGGGGCCTGGGGCCAATATGACAGGCAAGCCAGAAGCTCACAGAATACTCACAGAATAGGTTTTGTCACTTGTGAAAGAGATTATATTGCCTTCATAGGTGTTTTTGGAACATCAATTTAGATCATGTCTGTGAAAGTATTTGGTAAGGCAAGAGGAGGGGGAGGAGGATGAGGATTGGATCAGCGTTGTTTTACAATAACGCTGCATTACAAGCCAAACTTTAGAGGCATAGACAGCAACCATTTATTCAGCCCATTTCTGCAACCCAGCTGTGCAGTTCCAGCCTCTGTCAGCTGGCCTCCCTCTGGCCTCTGGTCTCCTCAAGCTCAAACTGTTGCTGCTACTGGAACGACACTCTCAGGGCCAGGTGATGTTGCCCAATGTAGGGCAACATGTCAGCCAGGTGATGGTGCCTCCAGGGTTGGCTGGCTAGTGGCTGAAACACCTGGGTCATATTCCTCTCCTCTTCACCTCACACAGCAGGAGGCAGGGGAGGCCTGAAGGAGGCATCAATTTTTTTCATTGCTTAAAAGATGAGGCTCTGTGAGATCTTGGATTTGATTAACCAAAGTTCCCCAGAAGCCAAGAGAACCCTGTGTCTGATATCCTCCCAGCTCCACTTTCTTCTCTTTGTCCTCTTCCCCAGTTTCCTGACAACTGGGCATTCCTGAAAACAGCCTGTGCTGGCTCCATCCGTGTCACCCAAACAGCTGTGCTCTGAGGGGCATCCGGGCCAGCCCTGAGCCCGGCACACAATGGTGGCCTACCCGCCAGGGAGGTCATTGTGCAGCCTCAGTCCTCTGGCCGACTCCAGGCCACGGGCAGGGAGGCCAGGCCTAGGGGGCCATCTAAGGGACAGCAGGAAGACCCTCCCTGCAAGAGGAAGGGCTGGGCCCAGAGAGGAAGCACAGAAGGTAGTGGGGAGGTCAGGGGCTGAACCCCAGCCTCAAAGGCACTTGGAGGGAGGGGGCAGAGAGGTGAGGAAGGCCCAGTGGCAGCCTCCCTGCCTTGTAAATCACTGCCAACAGGTGGTACAATCCCAGATAACAAGGCTTCTGTGGTGGGGGACCTGAGGAGCCACCTGTCTTGGCAGCACAGTCTCCCACCACCCACTTCTGGTCTGAGTCCCCCAGTGGCAGCCTGGTGATCCCTGAGAGCTGGAGACAATGCTCTTGGCAGCTCACTTCATTTTTTATGTCTTTAGGGCAAAGGGCTCTTCTGTTTATTGAAGTTGAACTCTACTTGGGAAGCCTGTTCCCAGGCTCCAGCTCAGGAAACCCCAGCCTGGCCCTTTCGCTGTTCTCTGAACCGGGATGAAGGAACCCAGACCCTGCCCTTAGCTTTTAGTGTACAATGCTGAGAATCCACTGGCTCAGTTTCTCCAGGAGACCCCAGAGCTTCCCCCTGCCTTATCCTCTGCTATTCACACAAGCCTTTCCTGCTACAAGAAAGTGGGGTTCGTGGTCCCTATGCACGCTGAGAGTCCCATGGCTTCAGAATTTAGGCAGAAAGTGCGGTGGCAAGAGCTGCCATGGGATGGAGCCCATTATGCCAGCAGTGGGGTCTCTGGACCCCTCCCAAGGCCCCACGGAGGCCAGTCAGCACGCAGAGAGGAGCATTCTGGTTCGGATGGGGTGGAGCCAGGAGATCTGGAGATAGGCTCATCTCCTGGGGTGTTGGTATGTCCTGTAGATAAATCCTCATATGTGGCCTTGAGACCGGCCAGGTCCTGAGGTTATCAGTTCAATGACAAGGAAGGAGGCCTGCGAAGAGAGAGACCAAGGCCAGCCTCAGCCTCATCACTGATGTGATGTGTGATAAGACACAAACTTTTCAGGACCTCAATTTCCTCATGCATTATATGGAGCAATTACACCTCTCAGGATTTACTGGAGATAGGGCGGGAGAGGAGGAAAACACAAGAAAGTACACGTGAGCAGGTTCTGGAAAGCACAGATATTGTAACAGAAAAAGCAAAGATGCAGCATGCATCCTATCACTTCCCTCCCCTGTGCCCACAGCACACACTCTGCCTGCTGGTCTCAGCACTTTCTCATGAAGCTTAGTGACTCTTTAGGATACCTCTAAGAACTCGTACCAACGCACCAACGGATGAGGGTTGCTAAGCAAAATCAGTCCTCTGCCTTCTGACCTGGTCCAAGCTGGGGCCCCTATTGATACTGAGGAGATTCTCCCTCCCCAGAGCCAGGTGAGGTAAGAAGAACTGCAGAGCTGGTGGAAACTCAGAGGTGGTCCTGCCTGTCACAGAGCCCTGCGTCCGGGCTGGCCTATCTCCCAGGGGCTGTGTCTCAGTGCCCAGCTCTGCAGCCAGTTGTGTGGCTAGGAAGTTTCTGGATCCAGGTCTCCTGGGGCTCATGGGGCAGTTGAGGAGACACAGGAGGAATGCATAGGAGTGGATGTCTGAGCGGGCCTGGCAGTCAGCGCTGGCTGTGGGCAAAGGTACACCTCGACTGAGCTCCAAGCGTCTGTATCTCAAAAGGCCTTTGCACGCAGCGTGTTGCCTGGCAACTCTGGTTCCCTATTGTGCTCCCTGAGCGAATCTGAACCCAGTCCTCAGCCCTGGCAGGCTAGGCTGGAGGACACCCAGGAGAGCCTCTAATACAGGGCAGGGTCAAGTTCATCAGGGCTACAGTGGCCAGGTGATGGACTAGGGACAGAACTTCTCAAGGATGCACTTTTCCCCTCCCATCATCCCAAACCCCCCACCACAGAGCATGCCCACAGAAGGCAATGCTGCTAGACCCTCAGCCCCAGCACTGGGGCACTGGAGGAGGAGACTCTGGCCAGGTGAATAAGGGCAGAAATTCCTCGAGCCCACCCAGGACCTATCGCCATAGACTCTCCAGATGGGGTCTGTGTGACCCACAGCAGGGTCATCTGTAGTCTTTGTCACATTTTCAGGGAGAATCAAGCAGCCCCCTCCATATCCTAAAATATTCCCTAGTAATGCCTCAGACACTTGCGATGGGAAAGTCTGCTGTTAGGGACCTCTCCAAAGTACTGAAGAGCAGTGGTGTCTCTCTGGAGACTAAGGTGCGTCTGATACAGTCTTTGCTATCACTTGTTATGCATCAGAGAGTTGGACAATGACCAAGGAGGATAGAAAGAGAATTGATGTCTTTGAGCTGTGGTGCTGGAGAAGCGTATTGAGGGTACCATAGACTGCTAGAAAAACAAACAGATTCATCCTGGAAAGGGTTAAACCGGGTGGCTTCTTGGAGGCAAGGATTCTGAGGCTCCGTCTAACATACTTTGGACATGTTGTAAGGAGGGACTGATCCTTGAAGAGGGACATCGTGCTTGGTAGGGTGGAGGGACAGCGCAGAAGGGGAAGGCCCTCTATGAGGTGGGTTGATTCAGGACTCGGGTAATTGGGATGGGTGTATCGTAGACGGTGCAATTGGCACAGCACAGAGCAGAGTTTAGGGCTGTTGTACATACGGTCGCTATGAGTCGCAAGCGACTCAAAGGCACATAACAACAACAGTGTCTCAGACAGCAGCTCCTTCACTTCTTCCTGGACGGAGCAGGAAGTGGAGACCTTTATTAAATGTGAATGCCGGGATGGGTTGTGGGGCTCCAGTTTCTGCTTGGGCGTGGTGGAGATTGTAGGGATGGTAGAGGATAAGGCAGGGTTCCGACCTGTGCTTCACAGGGCCGCTGTGAGTCACAGTCGACTCGACATCTAGTAATTCCTGATTGGATAATGCACTGGTTGATGACTAAAGGTTGGCAGTTCAAAGCCACCCAGCGGCCCTGCAGATATGAGTCAACAAATGCCAACGGTTAATTGTTTGCATGAGGCACCAGTCCTTGGAAAAGGAGACCCTGCTGGGAAAGGTGGAGGGTCAGAGAAAGAGAAGAAGACCCTCGACAGGATGACCTGACTCAGGGACTGTCACAGTGGCTTGAGCGGGACAGAGATCATATGGATGGCACAGTTCAAGCCGAGGTGCAGGTCTTTTGTTCATAGTGTTGCTCTGAGTCTCAGTCAGCTCGATGGCACCTAACAGCAATGACATGACTCAGAAGCTACTCAACAACTCACAGCAATTTCTGCTCTATCTCCCAACAGTGAACCTCTCCCTAAATGCACAGATTGCCCTCCTGGGCCTCAGACAGCACCGTGGATTCAGTCATTTCCACAGGGCAGACTAACACATGCCTACCCTCCACCAGCTTCCTGGGGTGAGGGCACCTGGCATGCACCCCTACTCCACTCTGTGTGCCCCAGATAAAGGTGCTGAGTCGGGCCTTAGAAACAGCCACTCCACAGGTGTCCCCAGAGATGCCCTGCCAGCCCTGGTGGCAGCAGAGGGCCAAGGCCAGCTGCTGTGGGTGGGGCTGTGGGAATGGATGAAGATGGAGCCCTGAGCTTAGAGTAAATTTCACTGAAAACAGGAAACCGCGAAGTTGAGCCGTCACCAGTAAAGGTCCGAGAAGAGCTCGGGGCTGAGAGGAAGTGTGGTAGCTGTTCTTGTTGGGGCTCCTCCCTCTCACAGTTGTAGCAGCCAGCAGGCCTGGGGTCTGGCAGCCAAATTCTTAGAAGTCATCTCAGCCTTGAGGTCAGAAGCTGAGGGATGGGGTCAAGCCGGCCTCCTGCACTGGGAGACAGCGTCTGCACTGTTGCCTTGTCCTTGAACTCCAGGGGCAGCCCAGCCCACCAAGGAGCAGGTGCCATCCTGCCCACTCCTCCCCCAGCGCCCAAGAGCAGTGAGAACAGCACCCTCTTTCTGTAGCAGCTGGCACTGAATGTCCACAGCAGCAGATGGGCTAGAACCGGAGCCCCAGGAACAAGGCAGAAGCCAGGGTTTGCATATTCTGGTAACTTGAATTGTCAGTCACATCACAGGGCCTGGGTTTACTCTCTCCCCAAGGCCCCCTGGCCCTGAGCAAGACCCAGGCATAGCCAAGACATGCAGGCTGGCCCAGGCTTTGGGTCTGGTAAGTGGACAGGAAGCAGGGCCGTGTATCCAGGGGGTATTCACTGCTGCCCAGAGCCTAGAACTCCTGTTCTCATTGGAAGTAACTGAGTCCAGCTCAGCAGAGCCAGCAAACAAACACAGCCAGGAGATAAAGGCCCAAGAGGCACTGCCCCCAAGTTGTCCAGGGTCTCTTGAGGATGTACCCAATCAGACTTGCCCCCACTCACCATCTTGGGCACTGCTTTCCCTGTTTCCACCCCCAGAGCATAGAGACTTCATGCTTTAAGATGCTTTAATTGCAATTGCACAAAGGGCTCCCTCCCCTTGTGGCAAGTATAAAAACATGTCCAGGCCATGCCCCAAAGCTGCAGTGGTGGCAGAGCCCAGAGCAGAAGAGACCCTTCTATGTACAAGGTGCAGGCTTGTCCTCCTCCCAGCCCACTGGCACCTGGCAGGGGAAGACCCAGCTGGGAGGGGAGCCAAGGCTAAAGGCACTGAGGTCACACTGTGGGGGTTAACCCACCATTCTTACCATCTGCCAAGACTGCCGACCCTGTTTGCACCTATTGTCCCGTAGTTTTAATATGACCCCCTTTTCCAGCGTCCTGGTTTGGTATAATGGTTTGGATGATGCTTCATGTTGTCACCTTTCTATTTGCCTGTGCAGATTGGTGGGGGTCAAAGGTGGGATGTTGGGAGATGGAGCTCCTCTCTTCTCATTTTCCCAGCAGGCCCCACACTTCTCCCCCCAACCCATGTGCTAGGCATGGTGCAACTCTGGCCCCCAGTTGCCCAAGATGTCAGCTGGTTCACGGTGACACCAGTACCCGGAGTGTATTTCCTGTTTCGGTACCTCTGGCCACTGAACTTTGGGGACGGAGATGTGTTACCCAATAAGCAAGGTAAACACAGACTTACTAATCTGTACTGAGCCATTTCCCGTGACTTCTGCCACAAAACCTTAAACTGTTCACTACAGGTTCGTAAGTAAGCCCAGTTAAACTGTGCTGGCCTGGCTGACTGAGAATTGTCTCTGCTGGGAACTGTCACTTTGAAAAGAGGCTTTGATCTATTTTGTAGGAGGTCCTATGGGATTGGAAGGGAGATGCCAACCATAACTAGAAGTGGAATTTTTGATGTGGCAGGAAAAATAAAAGTGGACTTGTTCACTATAAATTGGTGGGCAAGCACAAGTTAGCGCGTGCCTACCTCACATACTGGGGAATCCAGCATTGTCTGGGGACCAGGATGCAGGCACTGGGTGCACAGGTATGCTTAACCTGCTGCAGTTTCCCAGACAGGGGCTGGTAGGAGGCCTGAGGAAGGCTCCAGTGGCAGGGTGGGCGCTCAGCCCACACCTCTGGTGGGCGCCAGGAGCGAGTCCCTCAGATAAACAGCATCAGGCAAGATCAGAGCCAGGTGCCACCGTGGGCGGGCATCATGTTCTGTGTCATATGTCCAGGAAGGTGGCCACTCGGGTCTGCCGGGTACCCATCTTGTCCCCTGGGTACTGCCGAGTCCAAAGTTCATCTAGAGAGACTGGTGCACTGCTGGCCAGTCCACAGCCTCCTGGAATGCTGGTCGTCAGGCATCTGTTGCTGGTGGACTTCTTGTTCCAACACCCCAGCATCCTTGACACAGTGGCTGAATGATCCAGTGAGGGTTTTGGCTTTGTTTGGGTTTGGGGTTTTGTTTTCCCTTCCTCCATGAAACGTACAGAGAGACTGAGGGTCAGGATCAAAGCAGGAGGGAGAAAGCCAGGCCTGGCTCAGATGCGCCTGCCCCAGGCTCCACAACTGACCACTGGCCACCAGCTGATCTAGATGGCCTCAGAGTTTGGGGAGTCAGGAACAGGATCTAAAAAAGAAAGATGTTGAATGAATGGAGGGTACCTTTGTTACTCACCCCGAACCCCCAACCATGAAGCTCATGGCACATGGCTCTGTCACATGGTAAACCAACTGCCATGAGTTAACGCTAACTCATGTTGACCCCACATGTGTCACAGTAAACAATTTTTTTTTAATGGCTGGTTTTACTAATTAGGTTGCCAGGCTTTTCTTCCGTGACACTCCTGGGTATATTCAAACCTCCAAACTTGTGGTTACTGCCTAAGCACCCTAGCCATTTGCACCACCACCACTCACTCTGGCACATAGTGAGCATACAATAAATGTTCGCTACCATTATGGTCAATATAAATTGCTAAATACATACTTATATACTTTATATACTTTAATTTTTTGTTCTCTTAAGAGATACTGTTCTCTAAGAAGGCAAGGTCTAAAATGACTAAAGATTGTTAGACCTGAAACCAGGAGGAATCCCTAACAAAAATCAGTTGTCACTGTATCTCTGGCCCTGTCTTAGTGCCTGTGTTTCAGACACGATCGTGATCTGCAAGTTTAGCCTCATAACACCCAGTGAGAGATGTGCCATGGCTGTCTCCACTCTTCAGATCAGGAGAGTCTTCTCCAAGTTTCAGGTGGGCTGGTGGCCACAGCCAGGCCATGCCTGCCCCTGATGTCAGGGTCCCCTCAAGGATGGTAAATACTCACCCAGAGATGGGAAGAAGACGTCCCCGGGCCCTGGAGGAGACAGAGGCGTGCTGGGCTCAGAGAGCAGGTGTCGCCCTGACTCAGAGGGCTGCCGCTGTGCCATGTAGGACAAGGGAGGCCGGGGCTTGGGCACCAACACCCCCTGAGCAGGCAGGGGGCTCTCAAAGCCAGGGTTTTCAATGCCTTGAGTGTTGCTGCTGGAGAATCAGAATTGAAAGTCATTTGTGCTGTCTGGGGCACAGCCTCTGTTCTCCTTACCCTCCAACACTGCCCCATCACCTGCCTTCCCCAGCCACAGGCGACAGCAGCCTCTCACCACAAGCAGGGCCAGAGAGAGAATGCTATGGGCTGCACTCAGCCACCTGAGCTGAAGGAGGCAGGGTGACTGACCATCAGAACTGCCCCCAAGCCCACCTGGCCAGCAAGCCCAGAGTCAGAGGCCCGCTCAGGACCCCAGCCTCAGAACTTCAGTTCCTCTGTGGTCAGAAGAACTAATGACATCAGAATTGAACATCCTTAAAGCTTATTTCAAGGTGAGGAAGGGCTTGGCCATGGGATAGAGGCTGCACTCCCACTCTGCAATTCTAGCAGTACCTCCTTTGATGGCTCTTGAAAATCAGCTCTTTCAAAGACCCAGAGGAAGCTCTGGGTTTGGTGCTGTAGGTACTCACTCCCTGAGCCTTCCATGCCAGGCTCCATGCCAACCTGGTGCCGAGGGTGAGGGAGCACACGCCTCCCACCCACTGCACCTTGAGGTGCAGCACCATTCTGGGTCCTTCCAGCTATTCCCTGTCATCTGCAGGCCTTGTGGTCTCTCTTTTGCTGGGAGAGGTCACCCCTCCCCTCCATTTGTGAGGCTGAGCCCTGGGCCTCCCTGTTTCAGTTTAGCCACTTCCTCCTCCTCCATCCTGTCCAGGCTGACCCCTGAGGTCCAGAGGTGGGTGGGGGGCCAGGGGAAGTGCCAGCCCAGCACAGGTGCTCTCGGGCCAGCTGTGTAGATGGCTCGATAGATAGGGACACTCTCCAACTGCACAGAAATCTCCTCCCTGACAGTTGAGTCTGGGCACGGGGCGGGGTGGGGGTGGGGGTGGTACAGGCAAACAACAGTGATGTCCTGAGCTTACTCACGTTACAGCCAGTCACAGAGACACCGTAAGGACGGGGGTACCAGTGGGGGCTTTGGAGAAGAGTAAGTCACGGCTAAAAGTTACCCCTGCAGACACCACCCACAGCCAGAGGCCAAGCCTTTTGGAGCCTCAAACCAGAAGAAGCAGGAGGAAGAAGACTCAAGCTGTGGCTGGGGGCAGGGGCAGACAGGGCTGCAGGAAGTTCCCCCAGAAAGTCTCCAAGGGCCTTACCTTTCCATCCGCACTAGCTCCTGGGCACCTAAGGGCAGACAGACAGAATATCCCATCACTGAAGGGAAGGCCTCCTAGATAATACCCCTGTCTCTGCTGACAGATGCCCCAGAGGAACTGGAACAGCGGGCAGGGCCTGGCAAGACCAGGATTCATTTCTCTTCTCCTGGGAAGGAGGCCTGCCCACAGTGCTCTGGAGGGATGCCTGGCTGACCATTGACAAATGAAACTCAGCCCGCATTTAAGTGTGCACACCTGCACCAGGCACCCAAAGGGAGCTGAGGAGATATAAGCAGAGGCCCCGGGATCCGCGCAGAGGCCTCAGGATCTGCGCAGAGGCTTCGGGATCTAAGCACACCCTGCACCTGGGTTTGCTCTTGTTTCCTGTTTGGACACTGTGGTATCCGGGACTCCAGGCGTGATTTGTGGGGTGGGAGTGTTGCAAGGTCAGTTCCTAATTAGGGGGTTCCTGGGGCTCTCTGTCCCTTCATATTGCTTAATAGGGGGACGTTAGAAAAGCAACTTAATGCAGTGCCATAGAGTGGCAGCTGACTCATGGTTTTCAGAGGCTAAAAAATCTCAAGGGAGGAGATTGCCCACCTTTTTTTCCATGGAGCAGCTGGCAGATTCGAGCCTCAGCCCTTTGGGTTGGCAGTGCAACTCCTTACCCTCTAAGCCACCAGGAAGTGTCATTCTTCCAGGGAACCTCGCAGGGTGGGGGGGACTGCATACCCCATCATTTCTCAGCCATTCTACCAAATTTCTGTTCCTCATCCAAGTTGCTGCTGCTTTGTCCAACCCTTGGGGTTCCCCACTCTCAAAATGGCTACTCCCTAGAATGCAGGGACCCCCACTTCCTTCTTTCTTGCAACTCCAAATAAACTCCCTCAGATCCTTCTGTTAAAGGGCTTTCTGTCCTGCAGATTTCTGGGGGGAAGCGGAGGGTGGAGGAGGAGCAGGGTCACACAGTGAGGAAGTTACAGTTTCCCAGAACGGGATCTCGGCCACTGCAGACTGCGTGGCTCCTTAGTGTCAGGCTTCGTGCGGGTACTTTGTGTGGAAGCCCCCTTCTGTCCTCCGCTGTTCTCTAGGGACAGGTTGTGGGCCCATTGAAGAGCTGGGGAAACTGAGTCTTTGCCTAAACCTGGGTGAGAGCCACATCCATTGGCTCAGCCCAGCTGCCTTCCCGTGTGCTCACAGCCTCTCTTCTCTTACTTTCCTTTTTCCCCTCAAAAATCTTTTTATTAGAAGACCAGTGAGTGTCACCTTTCTGTTACTGCAGATACTGAATCTAGGGGTAGGATACTAGTGCACAGCTGCTCATCACGGTCCCAATGCTCCCTAACGTCCACAGAACCCCTCTTCTTTTTTGTGTGTGTGGTTTCTTATTATTAGAGAGAGAGAGAGAGAGAGAGAGAGAGAGAGAGAGAGAGCGCGCGCGCGCGCGCACGTGTGCCGTCAAATCAGATCTGACTTGACTGGTTCAGGAAGAGATTGTCCCTCCTTCTCCAGCAGAGCATCTGGTGGATTCGAACCTTGTACCTCTGGGATTGCAGTGCAGCTTCTTGCGACTAGGCCACCAGAGCTCGCTAGAACCCCTCTTCTAATCCAGTTCATTGCCATCCCCATTTAAGGACCCTTAAGGAAGCCCACAGGAATCCAGCCACTTTTAGACTAGAGTGTGGCAGAGTGGAGTGGGAGAAACTGAGAACTGCGCACAGGCCCCCTTCCATCCTCAGGATCCCCCCTCCACCCCATGCCCTCCTCACACAGTCTCTGGCCTGGGTCTGCCTCCCTCTGACCTCCCTTCTCTGGCCGTGTCAGAGCAGTCTCTCCTGAGGAGATTAGGGTGTTGCCTCCATCTCTCCTTGACCCCAAGACGCCTCATCTGGAGAGAACTTGGGCCCCCCTCAGTGACATGGTAAGGAGAACTAGGAGGCAGTACGGCAGGTGCACAGCCCCCCACTCCCCTCACAAACACACACACCAACACACACACCCCCAACACTCTGTTCTCCCACTTCCTGTTCCCTATTCTGCTTACATGGCAGAGGCCACCTTGTAGTTTGCAGTAAGGGGCCAGAAAGTGCCTCTTTATCTGCAGGACAACGAACCTAGCTAAGCCCTGTTCCCTCCTCCATGGAAATGTTACAGCACGAGCTGGCTGTGACATTTCTGGCACCATTTCTGTCCTTCATGGAACCCTTGACTCTGCTTTCTGTTCAGCCTTTACCTGAGCCCACCTCCACCTCCCCCTGGAGGTAGACTGTGGTGAGTCCGGTTAGAGGAACACAGCCATCCAGAGAGTAGGGGTGAGGTGGCCACTCCCCCTGAGAATCTCACTATGGGCCTCCAGTGTGGGCTCCCAGGAGATGCGAGCCCCAAGCCACAGGGTAAGTGACAGTGCAGGCCTCCTCAGCCACCTTCTGCAGCCAGGCTAAGGGGAAGGAGCCAGAGAGGGTGTGCGGGGAACCACAGGGACCAAGAACACAGAACTTCCTCCCTTCTGCTCCCAGAGGCCTCAGGGGCAAGATGGGGCAAGGTGAGGATGAAAGGTGTTTGTGGCTGAGACCTGAAGACTAGCCCATCTCAGTCGATGTGCATTTCCTTAGCAAGTTAGTTAACTTCTCTGTGCCTTGGTTTGCTTGTTGGTAAAATGGGACATTATTAGTACAGAACTCTTAGGACTTTTATGTGGAATAAGCAAGAGAATGTATGTAACAAGTTTAGCCTTGTGCCTGGTACACATCGCTTAGGGATTGTTGGCTGTGATGCTCTTTCAGGTCAGTTTCAAATCATAGTGTGACCTCAGGTGAACTGCCCCACCGGGTCATCTAGGCTGTCATCATCAGGTGTTAGATCTCCAGGTGGTTCTCCTGTTAGGCCGTGGGGTGAGTTCCAACCACCAGCTGTTCAGTTAACAGTCAAGTGCTTAATCACGGCACAACCAGGGCTGCCCGTGAGCACAGTGATGAGTATTTTAGTAAATGGCAGGATTGCTTTCTCTGGAAAGAACCTGAGTTGCAAGCACTGTGCTGGGGTGCCACTCAGCCACTTCTTGCTAAGGTACATAAGGTCTGGTTCTTTGACCTGCTGAGCTTGGGTTTCCGCTTTGTGAAAGGGGAAGTTTTGAGCCAAGTGATTGTTGAGACCGTTCTTGGCTCTGATGCTCCAAAGGTCATGTCTGTCTTGAAGATCGTACACTAATGACATAATAAGCACACTCACACATTAAGCATATCCCACAGGGGCTCAGAGAGGCGGTACTTCAGGAAACCATCTGAGCACCTCGATATTCTTAGTCATTCATTCAATATGTAGGTTTTCTGAGTGTTAAGCTAGTGCTGCCTGGGAGCCAGAGGCACATCTGGGCCCCCTACTGACTCACTGACTCACTGACTGACTGACTGAAAGACTGACCGAGGCCAGCTCCCTGCAGGGACTGGCGCAGCTCCCATCTCTGAGACAGAGGGGGCGTTGTGCCTGACCTGCAGGGAGATCTGGTGCCTTAGTGGTAAAGAGTTGCACTGCCAGCCCAAACACCATTGGTTCAACCCACCATCTGCTCCAAGGGAGAAAGATGAGCTGAAATCTCCTCTCATGCTGTTTACAGTCTCTGAAAACCCGCTGGAGGGTTCGACCACAACCACAATAGGTCGCCCTGACCCCCACCCACCTGAGAACGTCAAGGGTACTCACGGCGGTTGGAGGCCACCTGCCTCTGCTTGTAGACCAGGAGCAGGATGAGAGGGAGGCAGAGGATGCCCACGATGCAGGCGCCCGTGGCCAGGGCCGCAGCTGTGATGCCTGAAAGGCAGAGGCAGCCCAAGTGAGGGTCCTGTTCCCACCTGGGGGAAACTGAGGCCCAGAGAAGGAAGGCAGGCAGAAGTGGGGTGGGGGACCCACACTAACCCAAGGCCTTCAGCCAAACCCTCAGTGACCTGCAGAAGTGCTGACGCCTCTGCTGAGAGGCAGAAAGGGCTGGGGAGCCCCTTCCAGAGAGCCGCTCGCCTCCTTTCCATGTGGATCAGAGCTTACAGCTGTGAGGCATCCTGGCTAAGGTGGCTTCAGAGAAAACCCAAGTCCACATCCTGGGGCCAGCTCAACCCCGTGGGGATGGGGTTAGTCCTGGAAAGGGGGAGCATGAGCCCCGCCCCCCCCCGCCCACCCGCCCCCCCCATCACCGAGTTTAAGATCAAAAGGAGCCTCAGGGCATTAGGGCAGGGCTTCTGGAAGTCCCACCTCTTGATATCTCACACACACACACACACACACACACACACACAGAAATCATGGGGGAAAGTAAATGTGGGATCCTTGCCCAGCATTTTTACATTTCAAGCTTTTCCAATTACAAAAGTGAAGAATTTCACGTATGAAGTGTCCAAAAATCTCCACCACCCTCTATTATGTCTCCCTTTGAAGAGATAAACCCTGACAGTGGCTTCATATAAAAGATCTCTGGTGGCCTTGTGGCAAAAAGCTTCACTGCAATCCCAAAACCATGTCATTTGATTCCACCAGCTGCTCCACAGAAGAAGATGGGCAGTCTCCTCCTGTGTGATTTACAGCCTCTGAAAACCCACTGGAGGGTCAGCTAGGAGTTTAGCTGAAAACATAAAGGTCTGGAGAGTCAGCTAGGAGTTAGTTCTCACTAGATACCACAAGCGGTGGCTTCATATGTGTCCGTCTAGATGTGATGTGTGTGTACAGCACACATGGGATCATATGCTTTCCCCACTTCCTTTAGTGGGAACATGTATTCTCATAGCAACACTGAGAGTTACTTCATTCTGCCTTGAGTTTTACCATTGGGCCAAATTAAATTCACTGAAGAAGAAGTCCTATATTTACACTGCTTCCATTTCTTTATATAACTGATAACTTAGTCACAAACAGTCCAGTTCATGGTGACCCCACATGTGTCAGAGTACTGCTGTGCCCTGTGTGACTTCAATGACGATAGATTGGAAGTAGATCACCAGGTCTTTCTTCCTTAGTGCTATGGAGTGAACACGAACCTCCAACCTCTAGATTAGCAGCAAAGGAGCTCCCAGTACACAGGTATTTCTGAGCACCACACCTATGCGCATAAGTTCTTAGAAATGCAAGTGCTGAGCCAAAGAGTATGTGCATTTTCTTTTAGGTGGTTGCTAAATTGCTCTCAAAAAAAGGTCCTGCCACTTCCCCATCCCACCAAGAGTGTGGGGAGGGTGGATTTATTTTGGTCTAACTGCTGACTTTTAAGAGTTTAGCTGGGAACATAAATGCCTGTGGAACCACAAGCAGCATAAACCCATTTCCTTCCCAATTTCAGCCTTTCCCTGAGCCAAAGATGGGCCAGGGTACCTTGTCATGGTGTCAGCGTCTCCTCAGAGAGCTCTAGGAAGCTGGAGAGGCCGTGGCCTCGTGTTGCCTTTGCACTATTTATGGGGGAATAAAGGCTGTTTGTATTTTATTGTACTGCTACGCCACTGGATGGTGTAAACAAGCTTTCAGGGGGTTGGTTTGCACACAGTGCGGAAAAGAACACACTGTTTCCAGGCCCTTTTAAAAAGACTGATCCAGGAACAGTTGCTGGACTAATTACAAAGCAAGTGTGACTCCATGTTCAAGCTGCTTCCAACTGATCTAGGGAGGCTGCAGCTTAATGTGAAAGACTGAAAGTAAAAAAACATTCTACAATTCAGGCACTTCAAATGTCTAAACTGCATCAAAGGACCTCCCTGTGCGTAATATCTAAGAAGCGGGTTGCAATGGGCTGTTACCAATCAGCATTTGTAAGGTTCAGGTGCTCACTAATCCCACCCCTTCTGCTTGGAGGCTGTGAAGGGGCAGGGGGTGCTCAGCCTCGACTCTCTGCTTCACCTCCTCCCTCCCTAGCCATGCTAGGGGTCTGGACTGTTTCCACTTAGGGTGAGGGTAAGGCTTCTTTAAACACTGGCCTGGAATGAGATTAGAACAGGAGTTTGGGGTCAGCTTGCAGCCCCTCCACATGACTGATGCCTGCACTCCCATCCTGAGGACAACCCCTAGTGGCCATCTAGGCCCAGCTTAGGCTGGGGAGGTGATCAGGTGAAGCAGAGGCAGCTCTGGGGCCAGCACCAAGGACTATAACAGGCCCTCACACACCCTACCCACAAGGTGGCTCAGTGGGCCTTTGTGTGATACCTGTCAGGTAACCCCTGGGAATAAGCAGAGGAGGGCTGAGCTGCCCAGTTCCCTGGGGAGGGCTTCATCAATGCAAACCGCACATCCTGTCATGTTGGCGGATGGGGTGCTGGAAGGGAGACGGCTGTCTGGCCCATTCTCCTGGGCTCAGGGCAAAACCACAGCCCCTTGGCAGCCCTTGGGCCCTGACTTCCCCTGTCTACTCTCCCTCATCTTGCCCCCCACTCACCCTCAGGCTGACTCAGGCTTTCAGGTTATTCCATACATAGACCAGCTATCCTCCCACTGCCCAGGGTAACATCAAAAACTCTGGCTGAAGTTAGAGAAAGAAACACAAGAGCAGGCTGGTTTGAAGCATGAACTGCTTAGGTACCCAGGGGCACCTGTCCTCCGCCAAACAGGGACCGGCTTCTCTAGCATCCTGCTCCTTGGCATCTCATCTTTGGCCTTCCACAGCTTGAATCATACAATGACTTTTCTGGATGTCAAGGCATTGGCAGAGACAAACACAGCTTGGTTAGAGTTTGCATACTGAGGGGTCCTCTGTCCTCTCCCAAGGACATGGGTGAGAGACTAGGGCAAGTTGCTTTACCTGCCTGAACCCCAGCTTGCCCTTCTGTGAAGTGCGGCCCCGTTGTCTCTATATCGGCCTTGCAGCTCAGTGTGGGGTTATGGACTATAGGACCGCAGAGAGTAAAAAGTGCAGTGGTGAGGTGTGCGTCGGTGCATGCGTGGGTGCGTTGAGTCATGCTGCCCTGTATGCAGGTCCACGTGTGCGCGGACGTGCGCGTGCACAGGCGGTGGGTGCGTGAGTCATGCTGCCCTGCACTCAGGTCCACGTGTGCTCGGACATGCGCGTACACACAGGCGGTGGGGACATTGCGGGAAGGAAGGGGCCGGTCTCTGCGGGAAGGGAGGCGCACTGGGGAAGCGAGGACAGGAGGTTCAGGGTGAGCCCTGCTGTGTGCAGGGGAGTTCCTTGGCCCAGGTGCATCTGGCTCAGACAGAACTGCGTGCTCTAATTTCATTCCTGGCTGGTCCATTTGTTGATTTGGGAGGAGGTGGCCTGAGTGAAAAGTTTTCATGTCCTTTCAGGTTGGATCGGGCAAGGGAGCTGCTCCTGTGCCTGATTTCGGGCACTATGCAGACTCCACTCGCTCTGGTCGGGCTTAGCAGCCCCGAAGCCCAGTTCCAGCTGTGCCTGGCCTTGCCAGCTCAGTGCACTTGGGCAATGCTGTCAGCTGTCTGGGCCTCACATTCCGTGTATGTAAAGTGAAGATGACAGTGAGTGGCAGCATCAGTGGGTGTTCTGTAAGTATTAACTGAGATAACAGTACATACATGGGGCACAAACAGAGTCTGACTCATAGCTGACCCTTCTCCAGTGGGTTTGCAGGGCTGTAAATCACACAGGAGGAGACTGTCCATCTTCCTCCCCAGGAACTGCTCGTGGATTTGAACCAACAGAGTGGCACAGCCTTAGGGTTAGCAGTGCAGCTCCTTACCAGTGAGGCCACCAGAGCGGCCTTAAATGGAACTAGCACAGGGTGTGTGCCTGGCACAGCTCGAGGAGAGGGCTGTTCTTCTGCCCTTCTCGACCCTCTCCTCACCACTCCGCACGTAGAACAAAGGGATTCTCTGTGGTGGAATCCCAAACCAGAAGGAGCCTGCCCCCACCTGTACCCCTTCAACCTCCTCAGGTCACAGAGGGCTGACCCAGGGGTGGCACCCACTGAAAACAAGCCCAGCAGCCTGTGGCATCCAGTGCCTGCCACGGGGATACCTGCCCTGGCTGAAGGCTGGTATCAGGGTGCCTCCCCACCCAGGGAGTCTGGAGCAGCGGCTGCCTGAGGAGGATCTCAGCCCACTTCTCCAGGAGCCAGCTCCTCTATCTGAGGATTGGGGTGTGGGGTGGGTTTCTGGAGGTATAAGGGTTCAGGTGGAGGAGAAGGCAAAAGGGGACAGCAGCAAAGGAAGTGCTATAGGGGTCCCAGGGCTTGAGGTAATGAGGTCAGTTCAGACAGGTCTAGGCCCAGGATGAAGACAGAGACCCAAGAAGAGGCAAGGTGGTGGAACCTTACTTTCACTCTCCTGAGGGGAAGGTGGGTACGCGATGCATTTGGATGACACTTCTTTCCCTGGATGGGGCAAAGAGAAGAATCATTAGGTTGGTGCCAGGCCAGGAGACAAGGGAAGCATTCCAAGTCAGTGTGTCCCATTCCCCTCAAAGGCCTGTGCTATGACTCAGGGGAACCACAGAAACACATGTGCACACACACATCCATACCCACACTCTCACATATGCACATATATGCACCATTATATACACACTCACACATTCACATGCTCACTCATACACACACGTTGTTGTTGTTGTTGTTGTTGTTGTTGTATGCTATTGAGTTTGTACCGACCCATAGCTCACCCTCCGGCAGGTATTCAGAGGCAGTAAATCATACAGGGAGAGACTTCCCATGGAGCAGCTGGTGAATTCAAACCATGTTGGAATGCAGCACAGCCTCAGGGGAGCCATCATAGCCCCATGCATATGCATGTGTGCACACATTCAGACACACACATGGACACTTGCCCACACTTAAACATTCACACTCTCACATATGTATGCTCCCACATACATTCAGATGCACTCATGCACACACTTTCATACTCTAAAATATCAGACACACCCACTTACACATACACACTTACATATTCACACTATCACATACACACATGCAGAGACACACTGATTCCCACAGACATACACAAACACGCTCCCTCTCTGTCTCACGTGCATGCACGCGCGTGCGGGCACACACACACACACATCTCTGTCACACAGCCAGACATGCCTTTTCCATTTGCACACCACCCATAGAGATGTGGGTCTCTGCACTCTGCATCTCTGTTCACTCCACCAGCCCTTGTGCTGTCAGAGGAAGAACTATACACACGTCCCCCAACCCAGCCATCATTCAGCCATTCACTGACTCACGCCCAAGTCACATGGCTGTCACACTTGGCACATAATCACTACAGACATAGTTTCCGTGAACAGAATCGGCCCAGGCTCCTTGCAGAGGCAAATTCTCTGTACTCTTCGCTCAGTTTTTTATAAGCCTACGAATAACTGGTTTTGGTCAAATATTCTTCTAATTGGGCTAGCACTGGTCTGTCCATTTGCTGTACAGAGGTAACTTGTGGTCGCTGTGAAGCTGAACACTGTGACTCTGATGTGTCAAATGCATTAATGGTTACCCATGGTGGACAGTGTTTGGTGGAGATCCCAGATTAAAACAGGCTTGGAAGCAGGAGGGGCATCCACTTCCAAAATAGCTTGCCTCTGGAAACCCTATGAACTTGGAGAAATGATAAAAGTTATGCAAGTGTTCGGGTCTTTCGTTCATAGGGTCTCTATGAGTCGTCTACAACTCAATGGCACTTAACAACAACAACAATACTACTGAAAAGAAAAAAAACATTGTTATTAAAAATAAAAAGTCTCATTGTCACAAAGCCACAGGCTTCTTCCCCATCTCAGAGTTAACCCCACACATTGTACCCATTCTGTCTCATGTGACCGACCACTCACTTAGTCCCTGGAATGCCACAGTCTCCATCCCCCATCATGGTGTCACCCAGGGTCACACCATCTGTACCCAGCCTGTGGCTCCCTTTCTTCTGGTCACAGTGCCGCATACCTGCACTGCACCCCCGCGGTCACACAGCCACAGTGTTACTCTCACCCCTTGTCCCTCCAGGCTGATGCCTCCACGTCAGCCCTGCAGGCCCTCTCACCTCTCTGCACCTGCAGCTCCATGGCCGCGTGGACCTTCTGCTCCGAGTGGTGGTGCCAGAGCCCGACCACCAGGCAGCAGTAGAGGCCGCTGTCCCGGGGTGTCAGCTTGTACATGGTGATGGAGAAGTTGCCATGGTGGTCCGAGGACAACTCCACCCCGTTATGTAGGGCCAGGTCCTGGCTGGTGTTGGTGTGGTGGCCCAGGTGACGCAGGTGCAGCTGCTGGGAGGTGAGGTTGCGGATGGGCTGGTGCTCTGTGCAGACCTGCACCTCGCCCCGTGAGCTGCGGTACCATGTCTTGTAGAAGGTCATTTCGTGTCCCTTAGACACAGGCCCCAAGAGCTTGCAAGTGAGGGTGACGTTCTGCCCCTCTGGGCACACGAACAGGGAATATGGCGTGGCCACCTTGAAGGATGCCACCAGACCTGCTCAGAGAGAAAGAGCTCGTCACCAGCCTGAGCCAGCACAGCCCCCAGAGATCCAGAGCCTTGAGGAACCTTAGCCGGGGGCTCCAAAGATGTGGGTTCTAGAACCTTCTCAGCTATTGCCCAGCCAAGCCTGGGAGGTGTCACAATCACTTCTTCAGGTATGAATCCTGTCCAGCTCCTCCCAGGCTGTGGAGAGAAGCTTCCAGAGCTTCCCCTAAGTGGTAAGTAGGGCCATAGGGAATCGGGAAAGGCTGCAGGGCCAATGGGCAGCAGCCTGACCAGTGTAGCTGAGTGTGTCTGCATCTGGGAGGAGCATGGGCCCTGTTCCAGCTTCCCTATCTCAACCACCCTACTATGCCTGGGATTGGCCCTGGCATTGCCCAGCCCCTGTGCCCAGCACTGTTGGGTAACAGGCAGGGTGGACACAGGGAAGGTCAATTTGGAACGAGTAGCTTTTTGTCCTTTGCCACCTTTCCAAGGACCTGTCCATCCACTGAGGCTAGGCCTGCCATCCCATGCCCTCACTCGCATGAATTCATAGCATCTCTTCGTTGTGAGGCCTGAGCCAGGTGTGACAGCTCACTTGGATGCTTCCTGTAGGAGCCTTACAGGCTCCTGGGCAGACAGAGCCCGCATTCTGGAAGAAGTAGCCTCCTTGCCATCAGGTCATTGAAGAGGGAGGAAACAGCCTTCCTGGGGGTAGTGGGCACTTCCTGAAGGAGAGAGGGTCTTTGGCACTTTGATGGACAGATAGGATTTCAACAAGTGGAGAGGTACTCTGGGCAAGGTGGGAGAGAAGCAGGAAATCCCTGTTCTGTCTGCAGAAAGGTGAAACATGGAGAGGCATCCCATCCACGCACCTGTCTCCAACTCAGTGTTTTTAGAAGTAAGTTCCCTAGTTTGTTTTGTGTTGATGGTGAATTACTCCTGTGATCCTCTTTATCTGAATTTGATCCCCAGCGTTTAACCAGGTGGGCCCCCAAAAGCACAGGTGTTTGAGAACAGATTCCTGGGATTGGAGTCCCAGCTCTCCTGTCTAGCCATAGGTCTCCAATTCCCCATCTGTGCGATGAGGAGAAATATCAGCTATACGACAGGGTTGCTGAGGACTGAATGGGAGAAAAGATGCCAGCAAGAGAGGTGCACTCTAAGGCCTGCTGTGGGCATTCGAGGATAGCCCCTGATGCCACAAAACTAGTGTTGTCTTTTGATTGGCCTCTGAGAGCTGCTGTAAGATTGGTGGACCGGGCTAGAGGGGCTAGAAACATGTCCTCTTCATTGCCCCATCCAGGACAGCACCTGGACCTAAAACATACCAGATCCTCTTCCAGACACGTCCTTCCTTCCTGGTCATTGACCCAGGGACCCACCAACAGAGCTAAAGGCCCTGGGGAGGGGACATTACCCTGACGGAGCCTTCAGGCTTGGACCAGGTTCCCTTGAGTCCAATCACTGTGTTCACTTGAACTTTAAACTTCAAACTCTTCACTATAAAGAAATGCAAGAATCTGCTGGAGTTGGGCAGGGATTAGTGCCTTGGAAGTACCTTCCTCACGGTTGGTACTCAACTCATGGGAGTTAGAAAGGTTTCTAATCCATTTTAGTAACTCAATAGCTCATTCATATCTAAGAAATTGAAAAGCAGTTCTGCACAATGGAATGGAAAAGCTAGCATCACACTCCCTCAAAGGCAGGAATGCCCGCTAGCTGCTTGTGCTATAGTTCTGACTGGCGGGAGGCAGCAATGCCTTGGCCCCCAAGAATGTGGCTCTAGGAGTGGACATCTAGGTACCCCCAGGAGGGAGGGAAATAAGAAAACACAACCAAGCCATTCCCCTCACTGGGCCTAGATATGAGGGTGCCATGTTTGGGAGCCCTAGAATTTTGAGACTTTGTTGCTAAGGTGGGTAGATTTCAGAACTTCTATGGCTCTGGTGACTTCTATGGCTTCTTAGTGGTAAAAAGCTGTGTGCTACAATCCCAAAGGTACACAGTTTGAATCCACCAGCTGGTCTATGGGAAAACGATGGGCATTCTCTTTTTGAGTGATTTACAGCCTCTGAAAACCCGCTGGAGGCTCAGCTATGGGTCGGTCGGCTCTGACTTGACAGCACCTAACAACATGCCAAAGTACCAGACTCCTCTGCCAACCCGAAGCATGTTCATTGCCATGGAGTTGATTACAACTCAGCTCCAGCCTAGAGGACAGGGTGGGAGCATCCCACAGGGGCGCCTGGCAGTGAACCCTCACGGAAGCTGTGTGTGATGGGACGCCTGTGCTGCAGCTGGTGGGTTCAAACTGTCAACCTTTCATTAGCCGCCAAGTGCTTACCCTCTGCACCACCTGCTCTCCCTAGGGTTAATGGAATCCCTCGTAAACAGCCGCACATGCAGGTCTGTTCTTTTACAAGATTTGCTCACATTCCTGTTGACTTTAACAAAGTCAAGTAGCGTATGTGTCAAAGCATATTGTGTTTCTAGACATGAACATTAAAAGAGAGGTGGGGCGCTTGGCTACCTCTTGACCCTTTTTACCAACAGTCTGCCCTCCATAAGGGTTTCCAGGGCTCGCAGTGACCCTACAGGACAAAGTGTAACTCTGTTCCACGGCTGTAAATCTTTTCACAAGCAAACAGCCACATCTTTCTCCCACAGTGCAGCGGGCAGGTTCAAACTGCAGGTAATAGTTAAGGTCTCCAGGGTTCCTTAGCTAAAAACATAGAAGCCCAGAAACCAAAAGTGGCTTGCCTGAAGGTCCAACGGGTTATGAACTGAGAGCCTAGAGTATGAGGATTTCAGATGAAACAGGACCTAATAAGAATTATAATACGAAAATCTTCACTGTGTTAAGGCCTTTATAACACAACCAACCCAATAACCCTGTAAGGTAGGTACTGTTTTCATTCCCATCTTACTGAGGAGGAAACTGAGGCAAAGAAAGGTTGACTCAGTCAAGATCACATAGGAAGGAAGTGCTGGACCTCAAATTCACTCAGGCGCTGACACCACTAAAGAAAAGAGTTCTGAGACTGTTAGGCCACAGTTCACATTGAGCCTGCGGACCTATTCCATCTGCACCTTGGAGAATGTAGGGGGCTCTGGTGGCGTAGTCCATGGGGAGTTGCCCAGCTAGCCCAAGGCAGCACCTCCCTCGTGGTTTGTACCACCCACCAGTCTCTCCTCAGGAGAAAGATCTCCTCTTATGCCATTTACTGGCTCAGAAAACCGGCTCCACAGCAATGACTTCAGTTTGGAGTATTTTTCTTAAGATTACCCACAATTAAAATTTCTAATATGTTGCTTCTCTTTGAAAATCAAAAGTTAAGGCTTTCTCACACCGCAGCCATCAGCTGCCGCTGAACAGTAGGCCTTCCTTCAGATCATGCATCTATGCTCCAGTTTGCCGCAGTCCTCACTACTCCCTGACGCACCCCCGGCCTGCCTCACTCCCTCACCATCACTGCCTGGCCAGACTGACATTAGAGTGGAGTCTTTAGTCTGGCTGTGGTGGGATTCTATTCCTCAAGCCCACTATCCTGCAGGTGTAACTTTCAGGCTCAAAGACCCTCCACCCACTGTCCCCAGCAGGAGCCAAGCAAAGCAGGGACCAAGCCAAGTCTCCTCTGATTGCCAACCTGTGCTCTTACCCGTGGGAGAGAAGCCCCAGACAGCCTGGCTGCACCACAAGCTTTGTCCATGACAGCCTGGACCTCCTTGATACAGGCCTGTATAGGGTGAATGTAGCCACAGAACCACGCTTGTGCTAGAAAAGAGGTGTGGAGAAGCTCAGGAGCTCTCAGGAAACCCTGAAGCCTGCCTAAAGATAGATCTAGAGTTATCTCTGCCCTGTGCTCCCCCATTCTCTAGGGGAAGGCCACATGGCAACTCCCACCAGTATCTCTCAATCAGCACCCCTTGCAACATGATCATCTACCCCAGGGCCGCCCAAGGCTAAGAGAGCAGAACGCAGCACCAAGAATGATTCACTGATTCTCAGGAGCACACACAAACTTCCTTGGGGTTATCAGGAGGGCTGGCCCAGAGACTGGGCTGTAAGACTGGAGTGGGTAAGGCAACAGGCTGTGTAGTGGTGGAGGGAGCGGGGGTTAAAGCTGAGCAAGGGATGGGGGATAGGGTGGGAGCTAGCCACTAAGGGGGCCAAATAAGTGTAGATAGAGGAGGTGTGGATTGGTGGGGTGAGATGTGGGCAGGGTAGCGCTTGTTTGATGGGCAGAGCATCTATGTGCGTAGGGTTTTGGGACAGGGTGGGAGCAAGCTCTAGGCCTCCAGCAGACACTAGGTCTCACACAGTGGTGTCAGTGACCACAGACTTGCCTGCACAGTGGGGAGGGGATGTCACTACCAGAGGTGTTTCCTTCAAAACTCACAGCGGACTCAGAGGGGTTAGGGACAGCAATAAGGTGGGGGATGGCAAACATTGCTCAATATCCAGCACCCCACACACGTCAGCTGCCCCAAGACCTCTTCCTCTTTCCAAAAAAAGAGAAGCCATAGTGGGGTCTAGGTTTGGGGTGCAAGGAAAATGCTGGATTTCAAGCTAAAATAAAGGGTCAAACAGGGCTGTGGGTCCCAGAAAGCATCCTGTTATTGTGTCTGAGACGCCAGCTGAGACCAGCCCCTGCACAGCCTGTCTTTGAGAGGACACGCAAGAGCATGATGTTGGGCAAACAGACACGCAGGGAGCCAGTGTCCACCCCGCAGCACCCACGCTGCCCTGTGCGTGCACCATGAAGCATATTTATATAAAGCAGCTGGAATTATAATCACGTGTGGGAGGATGTTGCATATTGTTGAGAGCAGATCCTTTTGGATACCTGGGTCATTGTCGCAGGCCCGGGGGAGTGGGTGGGGAGGAAGGCCCCTGGCTCCAGAGTGACCAGGAGCGTGTGGGACAGGAAGATGGCTGGTCTGGTCTTGAGCCTGCGTGCAGGCGAGAAGCATCCAGTCCTTGTGGGGCTCTGGGGGCTCACCTCCCACTTCCACCCACCACTGAATTAGGAGGCAGGGCCCACTGTGAACTAAGAAAGCTCAAGGCTCAGGATTGAAACTCTCTTCCTAAGCAATAAGATTCCTCTTGGGTGTATGCCTGCTGTGTGACCTGGGGCAGGTTTCATCCCTTCTCTGAGCCTCTCTTTCTTCATCTTAGCTTGAGAGAGTTTCCACATTCCTAGGGTCCTTCCAGCCCTGATGGCCTGCGGGCAGGTGGAAAGGGTTGACTTTCCTCATGTTGGAGGAAGAAGGCAAGAAAAGGGCCGCAGAGGTGGTCCCATATAACGGTGAGCGCTTACTGTGTGCTGGCTGTTCATTTAGAGGACACGGGCAGTTCAGTGGTGACATTCTCACCCCACCTACAGGAGGCCCAGGCAGGATTCCTGGCCAATGCACCTCACGTCCTGCTTGCCCCCTCCTGTCAGTGGAGACCTGTGTGCTGCTGTGACACTGAACAGGGTTCATAAGATGGACTGGTAAGAAAGACCTGGAGATCCACCTCCAAGATTCATTGGAAAATACATGGCCCAGCCTCATCAAGCTGGCCCTGACTTCCCGTGACCCTGCACACAGTGGACAGGAATGTTGCAGCAGGCTCACTGCAGGGCAGGCCCACGCAGTGGCCACTAATGGTCACAGGCATGTGCTGGGCCCTCGAGAGGTCCCCTTTCATCCTCACAGCACCCTACCCTGTCACAAGTATTGTCATACCCATGTTACAGATGAGGGCACAAACTCAGCGAAGTCAAGGGACTTGCCCAAGGCCACACAGCCAGTTTGAGACCCACACTGGGGACACTAGGGCAGGAAGAGCCCGACTTCTCTGCCGGTGAAGCTGGCAACTCACCCGCAAAAGGCTGGACTGACCTCCCACTGACCTCCAAATGGAAAACATCATTCCTTTTTTCTTCTGCTCATAAACATTTACAAGGGTCCCAAGATGAGGGAACTCTCATGGTGTATCCATAAGGAGTCGTGCTGCCAGCCCCATGGGCTGTACCTCTTTGATGGTTTAAATCCACCAGCAACTTCTAGGATGAACGATGAAGAATCTCTTCCTATGCGATTTACAGCCTTGGAAAACTAATAGAGGGTCAGTTATGAGTCAGTAGTAGCTCACTGACATTGCTTTTTGTTTTGTTTTAATATAAGCCAAGTCCACTGTGGAGAGGCCGTGGGTGAGGGTGGTCCTTCATGGAATTCCGTCCGCTGGAATCCAGAGCTCTTTCTGCATTTTGCGGTCATGGGTTCCTCAGTCACTGGAGCCTCTCAGCCTCAGATAAAACCTGTACAGTACAGGCAAAGACGTTCTTGTTTGGCATCTTCTCAAGACACCAGTTTCCGTGACCTCTTTTCCCCCAGCAGGCACTTGGTGAAACCCCGAGCTGAGTATGGGATGGGCGTGTTTACGCATGTGGGTGTGGGCAGGCCTGTGGCCTATGTTGTTGTTTCCCTGGCAGGCCTGTGCTTTACTCTACTGTCACCACGGCAACACCCTGGCCTCTAGAGATGGGTCCCAGCTTGATTAGTCAGGCCTGGACCCCACCCGACAGCTGAATTGTGTCCAGCTGTTAGGAGTTGCAGAGTAAACACTTCTTGATGGCCCGTATTTGGCAGTCCTGCCGGCCCAGCTCAGGAGGTCATGAATGAATGCAGGACCTGCCCTCCAGTGGCCCAGCTCCCAGGCTGTTCCAGTGGATATCAGGGAGGGACAGACCCTGTCCTTCCAAGGTACAGTGCACAGAGGGGAATATAAGTAGGAGCTAAGCAGAATTGAGTAGGCCAGCTCAGAGTGCCAGGAAGTGCCCTCTGGTCTAGGGCTGAGGCCCAGAAGCCAGCAGGCCCACCCTCGGGGCTCTGCGGTCAGCAAGGACAAAGGGCATCTCAGATGTGTTTATTGATACCTGCCCCCTCAGGAAGTGTCCATTCACATTGGACCAAGGGAGCGGGAAGGGGAAGCCAGGCTCTATTGGAGGAAGCGGCACTTCCAGCACCTTGGGAACTCGTCCACGCATCCGGGGCTGGAGGCTCGGCCAGCACACCTCCCCAGGGAGCCGGCCAGCAACTGCTTCTCTGGATGACCCCCTTCCAAACTCCCCCAGGCCCTCCCAGAGGAGGTCTGTCTGCAGCCCAGCCAACTACCCTCGGAATCCTGTGCTGGGAGGACTTCCTAAGTTTTAAGTTCAAGTCTCCTTTTGACTCCACCATCATTGCAGGTCACTGTGTGCCATCAAGTCGGAACTGACTCATAGCGGACCCTCCAGCAGGTTTTCAGAGGGTGTAAATCACACAGAAGGAGAGTGCCCATCTTCTTCTCATGGAGCAGCTGGTGGATTCGAACCATGTGCCTCTTGGATTAGCAGTGCAATGCATTTGTAGCTGGTACTTAACTATGTAGGCATCATTCTGAGCACTTTTATATGGATTCACCATTTAACCCTCACACCCCAAGAGATAAATACTAGTAACATCTCCATTTCACAGATGAGGCAAGTGAACCACAGAGAGGTTAAGTCTTATAACTAGTAAGTGGTGGTGACCACATTTGAACCAAGGTTGTCTGGAGCCTTTAGTGGCACAAGCAGTTAAGTGCTCAGCTACTAACTACAAGTTTGGCAGTACAGTCCCCCCCACCCCCAGAAGTGCCTCAGAAGAAAGGCCTGGTGATCTTCTAAACAAGCCATGACCAGGAAAACCGATGGAGGGCAGCTCTGCTCTTAAACACATGGAGACACCGTGAATCCAAATCAACCTGATGGCTCATTTGGCTTGGTTTGGGTTTTTCTGAGTCTGGCTCCTGGCTCATGTCTGAATTAAGTGCCATCTACTCCCCTCAGGCTGTCGTGGCAGCAGGGAGTTGATTGGAGGTCCCAGCTCCTCCTTGCAGGTGGCTGCTGGCCTGGTCTGTGCAATTCCAGCTTGCTGAGGCCTGGTCAGTGAGGTTGTGGGCCCCTTCTCCTGTCCCTCCTTCCGTTGTGGTTCCTGGCACAGCTGCTTGGCCCCAGCTTGGGGAAGACCTGATGGGAATTGCTGTGTTTATTTGGATAGGAGCTCTGACTGGAGAATGGTTCAGGCTGGGAGACCCTGATTCCACCTGGCCTCCAGGCTAGTCACCTCTAAGGACAGAGAGCTCTGCCCTGTCACTCTCCCCCAGGGGAGTGACACCTCCCCTGCATGGTGATAAATTAGATTGTTGGGTTTTACTTTTCATTTTATGTATTAAATCACACTGAGTCACAGAGAGAGAAGGTTATTCCCTTTTCGATTCTGCTTTAATCCTGATTACATCAAAAAGAAAGTGCCTATTTGGTGCTAATTATCTATAAAACATTTCTGTCACTTGCTAATCTTTTTTTTTTTTCATTTTCTTTGCCAAGGGACAAAGGTTTCAGCTTCTGAATTCTCTCCAGGCCATAGTTGCCAACTAGAATGTAATCTCCTTATTTGGATTTCCTATTACTTTTATGATTTTGTTCTATTTATGGCAAGTGATCCTGGCTTTCCATTTATGGCAGTGATATAAAGTTGCCTTTTAATATCTGTTTACTTAAGTAAAAGAGCAAGTTTATGTAAATGGAAAAATAATATGATGATAGGCAGCTCCTGCAGGTACTGAAAAGGTGATGAGAAAATCCCTGAAGTTTGGGAAGCACCATCATGGCATCACCCTTCAGAACGGAGCAGTGCAGGGCAAGGAAACCATGTCCCCAGCTGCCCTCTATGCAGGTGAAGGGGGCGTGTATATTCATGGTCTCATGATGAGAGCAGAGGAGAGGCATGGCTGGACCCCCAGATCGCCATAGGAAACAGGATCCAACAGAGAAACATTAAAGGAACCAAGCAGCTTAATCAGGAACAGAGTAGCCTCATTGTTGGCTTATGGGTAAACAATATGGTGGCCATTGTCTTTCTCTTCAGGGTTGGTCATCCAAAGTAAATAGGCTGAACGTAAAGATCAGATGCAAGGAAGAACCCACTGAGCTAAGCAAGCCTTAGACTGGACTCCCCTTGAAGTTTCATTGTCCCTCATCTCTGTAGAACTTGAAGAGGAAGACCTATATGCGCCTTCATGCATGTGGCCAGCTGTAACTTCCAATAGGCAGGCTAGTGGCTGGACTCAGCCTGGGAGCTCAGATCTTTAAGATTCTGGAGAGTTCAGTGCCAACAAAACCAGCCACCAGCACCTTCCCATGCCCTCCAGGAGCAGGAGCAGCTTAGATGGACCAATGTCATGTAATCTCAGAAGTTAAAAGATGGCATGATACTGAACTGCACTCCCCCCGTGCCAGGTCCTGTGTGAAGCGTTTATTCACTGACTCTCCCATAGACCCTCTGAGAGGGTGCAATCATCAGCTTCACTTGAGAGATGATGAAAGAACTTGCCTAAAGCCACAGAGCAGTAGATTGACAGTTTAGGATTTGAACCAGGGCTTCAATCCAGTTTGAAATGTTTCAGTCATGGCCAACAGAAAGTATATGAATCACCTCTCTCTCTGTCTTTCTGTCACTCACTGTCACTGAGTTGGAACCGACTCATACCTGACTGTCCAGTGAATTTTTATAGGCTGTAAATTGCACTCGAGGAAACTGCCCATCTTTCTCAACAGAGCAGCGGCTCGACTAGATCTGCCAGAGACACCACATTTGGGTTAGCAGCACAACTGCCTATCCATTAGGCCACAAGAGCGCCCTATATGACACATAGCAACTGAATTGCTTACTTCTAGAAGTTTGACTTGAGTAGGAAGCAGGCAGCAGTGCCTCATTCAAGCATGACAGCTGACTGACACTTCACTGACATGTTTAAAGAGGCAAAACTGGCCGCCATCTTTGAGTGGGGCACTGCTTCCTGTTTCCTTATAATTCATAAGTCGCTGCCATCCAATCAGTTCCAACTCATAGCAGCCCTCCATGAAATGTCTGAGGCTGTAAATCTTAACAGGAGGAAACTGCCTATCTTTTGCCTTCAGAGCCGCTGGTAGAGTCAACCCAGCAGAGAGGCTCATATAGCCTTTTGCTCCACATTCTAACACTGCAGACTATGCCACTATGCAAGTCGAAAATCCCTCACGCAAGAGGTTGCTATGCAGCATGCACAGTGCCCTCGTTGGCTGGAACTATTTAGCAGCCCTAATTGTCACCCATGACTCCAGGACCTTTGCTTTGATATGTGCCAGCAGGAAGGCCTTGGGCCTGTCATTGCTCTTGTTGAGGGACCCAGGGCTCACCAGAAGCCTCACTGCTAATTTCTGTCACCTCCCCTGGTAGTGACAGGCTGCCCTGGATAAGCTGTTGGCCAAAAACTAGGGACCTCGTGTTGAATTCAGTGTGTGCAGTGGGCACTCGGGACCTCTCCTTTCCTTCCTTGCTTTTTTCATTGGTGCCTAAGATCTGCTGCACTGCATCCACACAGGGAGGTGCACCCTACCCAGCAGTGCGCCCCTACCTAGGCCACATTCTCACAGAGGACGCCATCAGCTGGGGCAGCTGGGCCAGCTCAGTGAGGCTCCCAGTATTGCTGCCCCTGGCATGTCCCCTCATGCCCATGGGCTGACACCAAGGCTGTTCCTCTCTACCTTGCAGGCCTCTGGGCCTCTGGGTATGGATTTCCTAAGACTTAAACTGTCACTGCGTCATAGGCTTGCACCACTGGTTCATGCAGGAAGGTCCTAC